GTGACGGAGAAGAGTAAGGATGCCCTCCTGGTTCCTCCCTCCCCAGAAGTGACACAGAAACAAACTGAGGCTGGGAAAGTCCCCTACTCCGCTGCCTTCTGTCTCAGGGGCCTACCTGGCGCGGCCTCACCACCTCCCGCACTAGGCTGGTCCCCAGCCCTGCTTATCCATTCACAACTCAGGGCCCAGTAGAGAGGAGGTTGGCCTGAATGTCCTGACCCTGTGGCTTCTCCTGGGTCTTGGTTCTGTAGAGTCAGCTTTGTTATTGTCTTTTATCTAAGTCTTGTTTTCTCAGGCTGGACCAGCCTTGGGATCAAACAGGGGTGGGTTTGACATTCCTTAGCTCCAATCCCCTCACATACCAAGGTCCTAGATGGCTCACTGCCTTCCCTGATGGATCTGGGAGCTTTTGAGCTGGTGCCCTTCCTTGCTCCACTCCTGCCACCATGGTTGCTTTTCCAGTGGATGCTTGGGCTGCTCCTGCCAGAGTCAGCTGCTTTTCTGGTCACCTCCACTGTTCCCAAAGTTGGAAGATAGGTTTTTCTCCCTGGGTGATTCATAGTCCTAATTTACAAAGTAGCCAAGTGCCTTGGGAGCCGGCCTGAGGATGATGCCACCTGGGTTGAAGGCTGCTTACTCATCAGGGACATCTGAGGGAAGGGCCCGCCTCTCAGAGCTGATGCAGTCTTTGGCCTATGCAGGTGAATTCCTGCAGCCGGTGGCCCATGCCCCCTGTACAGTCTGGGTTCCAGGGGATCTTCATGCAAATAAGCCCGGGAGTCCCAGGGTGACAGGTCAGGACTTCACCTGGTCTTCTATGTTTCTTCTGCCTGTCTTGTTGCCAAGTTAATACCTGGTCATCTTGTAGCAGTAGAATTCTCTGGTACACAGCTCCAGAAGCCTTCCCTGACCCTCTTGTCTACATTAAGGGTCCCTTTATGCACTATCACCACGGGGGAAACCCTCTGAAGGGCAGACAGACTTGGGATTGGACAGAATGGTTTAAGAGGCACTTCCCTGAGTCTCTTGTATGACTTTGTGAAGATGTGAAGACAGGACTAGGCCTGTCCTGTGTTGCTACACCCTCAGTGTCTTGACTAGTGCCTGGCACCCAGAGTCAAACTGTGTGTTTGAATCTTACAGCGCCTTAGGACTGGGGACTCCATTTGTGCCTTGTGCACCCCCTGCAGCCCGAGGTTGAGGACTCCACCTGAAATGTGCTGGATGACACTTAACTGGGAGATGGCAGGAGCCACCCAGTTTGATGAGACCAGATTGAGAGACTGTTTCAGCCCCCTGGCCCCTCTCCTTGTCTTTCCCACACAGGAGCAAGTGTAGTCACAGAAAATAAAGAACATCTAGTTACATTTGAGGAATAAATCCTCAGTATAGTGTATGTAGTGTCTGGGATATAGTCATGCTAACATTTGAAAAAGTTCACATTTAATGGGAGTCCTACTGTCTTCCCCTCTACTTTTTGAATCTGGTAACCCTGGGGAAAGACGATTAGCCAGACAGAGGTAGATCTGAGGAATGGTCTCTGGGTCTCTGATTGTAAGATCCATTCTTCTCAGTGCTTGGTACTTCTGCTCCTGCATGCTTTTGGTCAGAGATGAGGTGTGCTCAAGGAGGCTCCCATGGTTGTCCAGGAAGGGCTGACATCTCCAGCCTCTGCCCCAGCTGCCAGGGAAAGCCTTCTGTGTGAGTTAAGGCTTGAATGCATAAGCCCAGTGCTGATCGTGGAAGCAGATTCCACAGAGAGGTCAGAGGGGACTTGGTTCCTCTGGGGAACAGAAAGGTTGGCAGAGCTCTGAGTGTAGGAAGGGAGGGGTTTCCACAGACAGAATGTTCAGCATTCTGAAGATGTTCCACATCTTTGGGTCACCCAAGAAGGGGCAATAAGGGAACTCTCCTCCTGGCCTTCCTGCCATAGGCACACACACCTCTCAGGTTTGCAGGCAGGAGTTTTAGCAGGGAAAGGAGGAAGGTGGTCTGAGTGTCTGGCTGGGGCAGCACCTTGAGGGGATCACCTGCTCTTTAGTGGGCTGAGTCTCCATGTGCCTGATGTAGAGGTCTTCCTCTCCCCCACATTAAGCTGGCCCCTGAGAACACTGATTGAGGGTGATTGTCCCTCCTCAGAGAAAAGTGCTGCAGTCTGGGGGACCTTTGCACCCTAGCAGGAGCCTCTCCTGAGGTGCTCAAATCCATGCACATTAGCCCAGAGCTCAGCACTGAAGTGGAGTTCTGTCCTGCCAAGCCTGGCCACACTCCCAAGCCCAAATACACTGAGGGACAATGAAAAAAATGGCTCAGTTCGACCTTGCATTCTCAATGCATTGTGCCTGCTGTTTGCCTGTTTGCACACTAAGGAAGCTGCTTCCTACTTTAAAATGTCCATTAACTTCCTCCAAATTAAAAGTTCCCCTAACAGAATTCCTATTCTTAGATGGTGTAATCTTGGTCACTGGTGTGTATGTGTGAGTGTGGTGGGGGAAGGGTTGTGTGCCTGGTCCAAAGGTGTGTCCTGCCATAGGTTCTCCCTGTGAGGGGTTTCCAGGTCCCCAGGGTCCTTCAGGAAGTTCTGTACCCTGCCAGTATGAAGTCCCCAGGCTGAGCAGCTCCAAGGACTGCCTCCCACAACCTGGGTGAGGAAGGGCAGGTGGGCAAGGCCAGACCAACCCTAAGCTGAGGTTGGTTTGGACCCTCCTACTCCTGGACCTTTGGTGAGTCTGGCCAGGCATTTTGTTCTCAGCTTGCAGGAAGTCTGAGCGGGACCTGTTATCTACCCCAAACATTTCCTGACTATGGGGCTTTGATCGGGCTGCCAAAAGGGGAGCCGGTGGATGGCAAGGTCTTGACCTTCATGAGAGGCTGGTCAGAGCCTGTGTGTGAAGGAAGGTGTAGGAGGGGAAGGAGGAGGCAGAGGGAGAGAAAGAGAATCTCATGCAGAGTTTCTAGCTGTCTTTGATAGCAGCAAAACCTGTCAACAACGTGTGTGTGTGTGTGTGTGTGTGTGTGTGTGTGTGTGTGTGTGTGTGGTGTTTTTTTCCTGTAAACTGAGCCTCCCCCGCTGGGGCTGGGGAAGGAAGCTGCGGCGCGGGCCAAGGCCTGGGTCGCGTCTGACATCTAGCGGCCTCCAGAGCCCTGGCGGGGCGAGAGAGGGGAGGCGCGAAGGCTGGAGGACGCCGAGTGCGAACACGAGCCAGGAAATCGGGAAGTGCCGAGACGAGGCCTGGCCGGGGCGGCCGTTCTCCGCGCCCCGCACTGTCACCCCTTGGCCGGGGCCTGGCCCACCCGGCTGCCCCTTCCCTCAGCTTCGCCCGTCACCGCCCTCCCGTCCCTCAGGGTCACAAGTTCGACACACGCCCAACGCGGGGACCCCGGAGGGCAGGTCGAGAACCGGGTTCTGAAGGTCACCCGAACTCGAGTCCCGAGGCCGGGGTCCGGGTGGCCGCGGTGGCCGCCGGCGGGGCCAGTGCCAAGTTGGACCCGGAACGGGTGGGGGGGGGGGGCCCAGCACGTGCGGGGCGGCCCAGCGGGTGGCCGCCCGCCCCGGGGTGCGGGCATGTCGCGGGCACTTCCGGCCTCGGTGACACTCGCCGCGTCGCCAGTCCCGCGGCCAACCCGCCGCCGCCGCCGCCGCCTCCCGGTCGCCATGGCGACGCCGTCGCGCTGAGGCCCGCGTGCCATCTGGGAGGCCCGTGCGGCCCGCGGAACCGGCAGAGCGGCCCGGGCGCGGCGCGGGGAAGCTCGCAGGCCGGTGGGCGGCGCCGCTCGGCGGGACCAGGTAGGCGGCGGGGGGGATCCCGGCCCGCGCCGAGGGGGACGCGGCCGGCGCGACGGGGAGCGCGGGTGAGCCCAGGCTGCCGGGGGCCGCCCGCGCCCTGGCCGGCCAGGCTCTCCGAGCCGCAGCGGGCCTCTCTCGCCCTCACCTGCCGCCACACCGGACTCAGGTGCAGTCCTACCTCCCCGCCCTCGAGAGGCCGCCGGGCGCAGCTCGGGGCGCACAGAGCCGATCCAGCTCCTTCCTGACGCCCGGGCAGAGCCCGGCCCCGGGCAGTCCCTGGGCCGAGTCGCTGCTGAAGTTAGAACGCAGACTCCGGGACCCCGAGTTTAGAGCAGGGATCCGCAGCCGCGTTCTAGGACACGGCGGGTGGAAGTGGGTGGACCAGCGTTTGCCACGACTGTTCTTCGAAACCCGAAACCCGGGCTTCCGCCTCTTCCCATGGCCGGCTCTGGGGCTGAAATGTCTAGCGGCAGATCCTTTCTATCTCCTCCGACACCCCAGCTCCGAGTGAGGGTGGGGGGTTCCAGACTGGGAGAGCCTGGCTCCTTCGGCTGGCCGTGACGGGTGGACACAGGGGCTGCAGAACTGCGCGGGGAGAGGGAGGGATCCGCAGCTGCCTTTGACTCTGGGGTGGTGACAGCGGGGCCATTTCTCTGCCCTTTCGGGCGCTGCATCACAGTCACAGAACGGGGGTCCACGTAGACTCTGGGACCCGTGGCATGTCTTCCCGTCTCTTCTCCTTCGGGTTGCCCCTCTCCTCTCATCTTTCCACCTTGGCAGTCTTTGAATGCTTTCTAAGACTCATTAAATGAAGTTCCATCTTAGGTTTCCTGGATTCTACTCTTTCTTTTCATAGTAAATGGAAAAAAAAAAAAGAAAGAAAAGAAAAGAAAAACAAAACCAAAGCTGTACCACCTACTCTAGCTGCCTTGATTTCTCCACTGAAATTGGTCAGAGACAGGAAAATGCAGGGCGGCTCCAACCCCACCCCCTTGCAGGAGGTGCTTCTGGAACCAGAGGTAGAACCGCCCACAGTTTGCCCTGCCACCTTCTCTTGGCAGGCTTAACCTGGGCTTTTCTGCTAATACAGGTTGTGAGGCATCAGGCTGTGTTGGTGGACAGTCAGGAGAAAGGAACCGCATCCAAGAGTCAGCTTCACTGCTTCCTAATCAATCCATAACCGATTTTTGAAAATATAGAACATCACAGATTAAAAGCAGACCAGGCTTCCTGCTCCCCTGCTCCAGGAGTTTCTGCTCCAGGAGTGTGGGAGGCTGGTGGGAAGCAGAAGGGAAGTGTGAATTTTTTAGAGGGAGTCCTACTGTTAGCTGTCATCTATTCTGGGGCCCCAAACCTGGTATATACATTGCTGCTGACATGTGACTTCACCTGAAGAGGCCATTAGGGTCAGGTTTAGTTTTTATTAGACCAGTATTTGACTGAGCCCCTACCATGTAGCAGACACTGTGCTAGGAACTCGTGTATATTTTTCCCACTTAATCTTTCTACTGTCCAGTGAGGTAGTTCTCAATATCCCCCCACCTCACAGATGAGGAATCAGGGCTAGACAGGGGACTTGGTTTGTTTGGGAACACAGTGGAGTGGCTTTGAAATCACAACTTTGTGATTCAGGCTGAATTGTGACTTTCATGGGCCTTTTCCTACATAAAACAAATAATAACGGTCTATTTTGTATCTGTGTTGGTATAGACACAAATGTCATCCAGACCAAATTAAAAATTAAAACATTTTCTTTGACCCTAAAAATTCATCTTTTCTTCTGTAACCACCTCCTCCACCCCTGCCAAGCTACGTCTCCAGCCCTCTTGACTTTAACAAAGATGAAAATCTTTTTGCTTTTTAAGTATTAGGAGCCACTCAAACCTGATGGTGACTTCAAGCCCTGCTTTCTTCCTCAGGTACCTCAGGTGTGGAGTTGTAAGAAAATGCCCCTTTGCCTTCTCTTTCATCACATTCTGGGACAAGCCAGCTGTTTTCACCCATCAAAAGATCATCCCCTCCTTCATCTAACTCAAAACCCTGTTGATAAGGAGGAAAGCTTCCCTCTATCCTCTCTGCCCCAGGCTGTAGAAAGTGTACAGTGTCTGGTCCCTAATAATGAGATTAGGCCTGGTCGCCTTTTAATAAGACACAGTGGGTTTCAGGAGGGAGCTTGTGGCTTAGCAGCGTAGGTTAAGCCCTGGGGGAAGCTCTGTCCCTGTTTGATTGCATTAAGTGGCATCTGGCTGCAGTTTGTGTGCTGGGGGTGTGTTTGTCACAGCCCAGTTTTCTAGAAGCTGCCAGAAATCTGTCACCCCCACCCTGTGCTCTTACAGAAAAAGGAGAGTGGCCACATAAAGGGCAGCGTGAGTACCTCTAGTTGCAAGACCGGTCTTCTGGGCAGAGCATACCTTTGGGGTGGAGAGGGCCACTTCCAGGCCCTTGAAGTGCCTGGGGACCAAGGTTGAACAGGAACCAGGAAGCTGTCATGGGAGGGGGAAGACCATCACCAGGCTGTGTCAAGGTGACTTTCTCAACAAGGTTTAGGGTCAAAGTCTCAGATCTTTGACTGACATCAGTATTAGGAAAATGTGACAGTACTAACCCATTAAAATTACTGGGTGTTGGAAAGCACAGGGTCACTTCGGCCAGCAGGAGACTCAGGAGTGTGCCACTTTATTAAAGGAGGGGCCCTCTTCTGTGTGCAAACAGGACAGCTTGAATTCTTACTGCTCTCCCCTTTTCATCTTTCTCTGTGCTGCACATTGCCTGCAAGCCCCCCTGAGGGTAGGGATGTCCTCTACAGCATCTACCAGTCCTGATATACAGTAGGCACTCAATAAACAATTGAGTGGAGCTGCTATTTGCTGATGGTAATTTTGGGGTTGCTCTTTATGATCTTTGAGCCCTAATTTCATCATCTATCAAACTGGGGTAATGCTTCTATTATGTTCTCAGTGTCACCGCTGAGGACTGAGAGAAAATGGGACCTGGTACAGAGTAAGGGGCTCACTGGCTGTTGGAGGCCCTCCCTCCTGATGCACACAAGCTGTCTCACCCTAATATGGAGGGTGCAAACCCAAGGAACCCAGGAATGAGTTTGCAGTGTAGGATGGCAAAGCTATGTGCTTGGTCATCACCTTTTGAGGAGAACCTCCCTTGAGGTCCTGCCTGTCTCGAGGAGGCTGGCTGGGATGGGGAAGCAAATGACCCTGGAGTGAGGCCCGCCCCTGCGCCCCAGCCCTGCCCTTTGCATTCATAAAGAAGTCCAGGCAGCTCTGCTTGACTGCCTGGGGTGATGTTCCTTCTGTTCTTCCTAATTCAGAGATAATCAGATTCTGTCTGTACTCTGAGCTCTCTGGGGATGAATCTAATAAGGGAGGCAGTGACCTGCAGAGGAGGACGCAGGACAAACGACCAGAGGACAGCCTTTCCTCCTTTAGTCCATTTTTCCTGTTAGAGTTGGGGTAAAGTGTTAGGGACTCCAGGAGTCACAAAGAAGAGTAAGGCGCCTCCTTACCTCCAAGGACAGAGCACTTCAGCAGAGAAGCACCACGAGACTGACCTAGTACAGAACCAGAAAGGGTAAGGAAGCTCTGGGGAACCTTGGGAGACAAAGAGAAGGGGCCAGTGTTGGGCACGGGGAACAGAGTGGGAGTGAGATGCCATTGAAAGGCCTGGAGAGAATCTGGGGCCTGTGCAGGGAGCTGGGAGCAGCTGGCCCAGAGGAGGGGGGAAGGACAGCAGGTTATGTTGGGAGTCGGGAGCCCTGAGGGTCTCCTCCATGTGACCTGGTAGGAACAGTATGGCTGTAGAGGTGGAAACTGAGTTAGGATCATGATACAGCAGGCAGGGGACAGGACTTAGGGAACTGGGTCTGTCCTTGGTGTGTCAGGCAGATTGAAGAGAAAAGCCGTAGACCCTGACTTAATGTGGCAGCAAGATGGCTGTGAGGGAAGTGATGGCAGAGACCTGGCGGAGCCCCTGGGCTGCATGGCCAGGGTAGGGGCCAAGGTGCATGGGTCAGACCAGGAGGGGCAGCCCCATGGCTAATGGGGTCATGAGGGGATGAGACTACAATGGGACAGGAGTTTGGTCTTGGATGAGTTTGAAGTGTTGGTAAATGTCCAGGTACAGATTTCTAGTGGACCATTAGAAGTGGGGTTTGAATATGGAGGAGGACAAAACTGGCATTAGATTTTGGAGTCACCTGTATAGTGACGGATAGGATCAGTGGCAAGAATTCCAGAAATAGGATTCATCGTTGGCCTGCACACTGTGAGAGCGTGAATCAGGGCTGTTTCTGGGAGATGATTTTACAGAGTGTATCAAAAACCTGAGAAGGAACCTGGCCCTGTCTCACACAAGCGTGCAGAGATGATCACCTGGTGGTGTTTATCTGGAGAAAAACTGAAAGCCAGTCCCCGTTGAACAGCTGGGGGCTGAGGTTGGCTAGGAGAATAGTTAGTGTGAAGTTAGTGAAATGAGGTAGATGGATATCGACGGGCATGAGAAGTACGCATGATATACCATTATGTTAAAATCACACCGAAGGAAATGGTAAGATCCCATTTCTATTTTTAAAAATGCATCATATGGGAATGGTGGTGTACCCAGAGACTTGGGAGGTTGAGACAGGAGGATCACAAGTTTGAGGCCAGCTTCACCAACTTAATGAGAGCCTGTCTCAAAATAAAACATATAAAGAAAGGGCTGGGGTGTAGCTCCTTGGTAGAGCACTCCTGGGGTCAATCCCCAGCACTGCAAAAAAAAAAAAAAAAACAAAAAAAACAAGTAAGGATAGAAATCAAACGTTGATGACGTGATTTCTTTTTTCCACTCATCCATATTTTGCCTCAGTGAGTCACATTATTAGCCGCCTCCTTTTTTTCAAACCGGTGCGGTTGCCATCGGCTGTCAGGCATGGCAGGGCACCAGGGAGCGGAGGTGAAGCCGGAGCCCCAGGGGAGACTGCAGACTCTTTCCTGAGCTCTGCAGGATGGGGGCTAGACCCTGTGGTAGTGCCAGAGGGACTGCCAGCCACATTCTGTCACTGCTGTCACCCACTGCTACTGGGAGAGAGAGATGGGTGGTGGGGGAGGTGAGAGGGTGACAGTCTGGGGGAGGGTGCAATAGGCTGGTGCCCTCATGTCAGCTCATGGTGGCAGTGGCAATGTCCAGGCATGGCAGGACCTTTCTGTGGGGCCCATGTGCTACTGGCACTGAGGCAAAAGGAGAGGAGGCCAGGGCCAGGCTGGTTCCCCTCCTGCCTGCCCTCCTCCTGTCGCTGGCTGCCATGGCCAGAGCATGCCCATTCCCATGGGGATGGGACAGGCACAGTGCGGGGAGGAGAGCTGGCCCCAGGGCTGCCGTGCGTGGCGAGCTGGAGCACACATGGACCTGGTCTCCTGAGCCAGGTTGTCCCAGAGCCTGCAGGTCCACCGAGTCCATGAAGACACGAGGGCTGCCTTTCTGGTGCCCTCAGTTTTGGAAACCTTGCCCGAGGGAGGAAAGCGCCCTGCTCCCACCTGGCTCGGGGTAGGGCCGGAAGGGAAGGAGGCTACTCTGCTGCCCCAGGCTCCTGCTGGCTGGCACAGCAGGGCCAGGGCAGCTATTCTACAGGACGAGGAGCCTGCTGTGGGGTGTGGGGCTGGCTCTCAGGATGGTGGGCTAGAGAAGACTCCTCATCTCCAGCTAGGAGCTTAGAACCTGGTAGGGGGTGGGAGGAGCCCATTTTTCATCCCAGAAGTATTTTTACATTCGTTTGGAGAAAGAAGGTTCAGCTAACCTGAACCTTCAAGGAATTTGCTCACTTCTCTGTAATTGGTCTGTAAACCCTACCTGAGAATACTGGGGACCTCATGAGAGGACATACAGCTCTCACCTGAGGCCTGTGCTCCCACAAGAACTTGGGGTGTCTTCCTTTGCACCTTCTTTACACATGGAACCCAAGTCAGGTCTGTCTCCTGAGAAGGCTGGGCCTCCTGCTGGGCTGCTCCTGGGACTTAGGGATCCTGCTCCAGGAGGGTAGCAGGAAGGGATCTTGGAGGTGGGAGAGTGAGTGAGCTCTGTTTGAGGACAGGGGAGACGGGTGAGGTGGCGTGTGGAGGTGGGATGCCACTTCTGGAGGTTGTGGGTGACTCCTCTGAGCTGTTTCTTTCTTGCAGTGGCTGCCTCAGCATGGAGAGTGGCCTTGGCCCTGTGTCCACCCCTGGTGCGCTGCCCTACTATGTGGCCTTCTCCCAGCTGCTGGGTTTGACTGTGGTGGCCATGACTGGTGCTTGGCTGGGTCTGTACCGAGGTGGCATTGCCTGGGAGGGGACCCTGCAGTTTAACGTGCACCCGCTCTGCATGGTCATAGGCATGATCTTCCTGCAGGGAGATGGTAAGTCCTGTGGGGAGCTGCTCCTTTGTGCCTGGGCTTGGGGCTGTCATAGGGAGAGGGATCCTGTTACCCCTGAGGTCTCTTCCAGCTAGACAAATCAAAGATTCTAGAAAAGATGGAGCGGGGGCTGGGTTAGAGCCGGGTTAGAGCTGGGTTAGAGCCTGGGGAGACAGTTCAATCTGGCACCGAGGCTGGTGGGTGGCAGTCGCTCTCCAGCTGTCCTAGCACTTTTTGCCTTTTGCTTCATCTCCCGGGGGTGGGGTGTTTTCTAGAGCAGAGAGCCAGGTCCTGGGCTGGGAGCTGAGCCATCTTCATCAGTGACTGGGAATTGGGAAAAGAAATATTAGGATTGTGCATGTGTGTTGCTGCACTTGGACTTGGCCCGGCTAGAGCTCCTCCATCTGGGGTGGGAGCAAGGTGGTGCATGGCCTGCGCTCTTCCTAGAGGCAGTCCTGGTGATAGCCACTCCTCAGCAGCATGTCCCCAGAGGTATTCCCCATGAGACCTGAGCCTACCTGCTGGATGCAGTGGGGATTCGGTTTGGGAATGAGGAAACTTCATATTAAAAATTGTGACAGGTCATGGGGCTGGGGTTGTGGCTCAGCGGTAGAGCGCTCGCCTAGCACATGCGAGACCCTGGGTTTGATCCTCAGCACCACATAAAAATAAATAAAATAAAGGCATCGTGTCCAACTACAACTAAAAATAAATAAATAAATAGATAGATAGATAGATAGATAAATAGATAGTGACAGGTCAGGCTTCAGTATTGGACTCTGAGGAGTGATATTTCTAAAACGTCAGTTCAGAAGCTGAACTGTTTGATGAACCCAAAGCACCTGAATGAATGAGTTCACAGGACATCTGCAGGCAGGATGTGGATGGGTGTCCACTGGGCCAGTAATTGCTCCGGATGAGGCCTGAGGGCCCAGTCCCACCTTTGTTGCCCTTTGTGGCAAGAGCTGTGGCACAGCCTCCCAGCATGCTTGAGTGTGCTCAGGTGTGTGTGTGAAGGGTGGACCCAGCTGGAGAGGGCAGTGCCATCTGCAAAGGTCAGGAGCTCCCACGGTCCCTTGGAGTCCTGTTTTCTCCTGTAGTTCCTGTTGGGGGCCAAACTTGACAAGCTGTAACTCAGCTCATGCTCCGGCCACGTGGCCCTTCATGCTGTTTGTCCAGCGCAGGCCACACACTTAGTTTTCCCTTCCTACTTCCCACAGCCCTGCTGGTCTACCGTGTCTTCAGGAAAGAGGCCAAACGCACCACTAAGGCCCTGCACGGGCTACTGCATGTCTTTGCGTTCATCATCGCCCTGGTTGGTGAGTCATGGTGTGCCTTCCTCTCCTCGCCCATTGCTTCAGCTGGGAGGCAGCTGCTGGGTACACACCATTCCTTGCTCCAGAACCCTATGGCCCTGCCCCTGGTCCTCTCCCCAATACCGTCCCTGGCAGGGACACTCGGTGCTGGCTGTCATTGGGCTGGACCAAAGCCCAGAAATTCTGGCTAGCCAGTGTCCCTCAGGTCATCCCACCCACTCTCTTTTCCACATCCCACCCTGACCTCACACGGCCCTTATCTCTGGTCCAGGCCTGGTGGCGGTGTTCGATTACCATAAGAAGAAGAGCTATGCTGATCTGTACAGCCTGCACAGCTGGTTCGGGATCCTTGTCTTTGTTCTTTACTTTGTGCAGGTGAGTCCCTCCAGCACCCCATCTCCAGGTCCAGCGGCAAGGGACAGGGAGGGGGAGGAGAGGCAGTGCTGAGTGTGCCCTGAGAGTTGCTTAGTTTGGTTGGACATCACCTTCAGATGCGGGAGGGGTGTGATCCTAGGACTGCATGGGCCAGGGGCCCCAGGCCCAGCACCCTTCCCCGCTGACTTGGCACTGTATTTGGTCACATGCCAGCTGAGTTCTCAGAATGACCAACTTTTGCTATGGGTCAAAGACTTCAATCATTGGGGGCAGGACCCATTCCCTGTCCTTAACAGTCCTCAAGAGGGGAAGAAGGGGTCGCCCTGGTGTCCTCCTGCTGGTTAGGTGCGTGGCCAGCGCATGGTCCAACACTGCCTCTCCTTTTCTACTAGTGGTTCGTGGGCTTCAGCTTCTTCCTGTTCCCTGGAGCTTCATTTTCCCTGCGGAGCCGCTACCGCCCTCAGCACATCTTCTTTGGTGCCACCATCTTCCTCCTTTCTGTAGGAACAGCCCTGCTGGGCCTGAAGGAAGCGCTGCTGTTTAAACTCGGGTGAGCGTCCTAGGACAGGAGAGGGCAGAGCCACAGCTGCCTACAAAGATGGAACCTCCCTCCCTCAACATTTGTTTTCTAAGCCAGCCTTTTAGAGACTTAGGAGTAGTTAGAGGGGGCTGGTGCTGGCAAACCTGTGGCATCTTTAAGGCCCAGGATGAGAATGGCATTTGGCCTAACTGGGACCCCTTGGGTGGCTTCTCCCTTCTCTCCTTCCCTGTAGGAGCCAGTACAGCACATTTCAGCCTGAAGGGGTTCTGGCCAACGTGCTGGGCCTGCTGCTGGCCTGCTTCGGGGTGACTGTGCTCTACATCTTGGCTCAAGCTGACTGGAAGCGGCCTCCCCAGGCTGAAGAACAAGCCCTCTCCATGGACTTCAAGACTCTGACGGAGGGAGACAGCCCCAGCTCCCAGTGATGGCCCGGCTCCATCTTGTCTCATGCAGAGGCCGCTTGGGGGCGGCTCTCTCAATTTTGTGGAGTTCCCATAGGCGTCTTGTGGCTCACCCCTGCTGAGGCTGAGTCTTCAGAACCTGGGGAAGACTCAGGCAGCATGGTGGGGAGTGTGGGTGTAGTGGTGTCTTTTAGGTGGCTTCTGGGGTTAGGGCTGTCCTCTGCTTTCCCTCCCTCACTGTGGCTGTGGCTATAGATGTCCTGTGCAGGTATTGTTCCCTGTTCCCCTTCACATGCAGAAAGCTTTGGTGGGGGCCTGGGGCTCAGTCCTGGATGCAGAAGCAGAGCTCCCCACAGGAGCTGGACAGGCTCCACCCTCCAGGCAGCAGATGGCTAGGGTGAGGCCAGGGGAACTGCAGGGCCTTAGGGATAGTTCTGGAAAGCTAAGACTGCTGTTTGTATAACTGAATCCTAACCAGGAGTCCCTCCAGCCTGAGCAGCATGTTGGAGAAACTGGCCCAGTCCTTGGCAGTGGAGCAAGTGATATTATGTACAAAGTATGCCTCTAATCAGAGGAAGGCTTCCCAGGAGAGGGGAGGGACCAGCTCCTGGGAAGCACTGCCATTTGGCTTTGACCCTACTGCAGTCTTAAGCCTTCCTGCTCTTTAACCCACGATTCCCAGGACAGCTTTGAGGGAGAGGGGACAGGAACATGTGACTTCAGCACACTTGCCCTGGAGATGGGGCAGCCTGCATGGGAAGCAGGAGAGGCCTCCTGTCCTCTGGCTCCCCTGCAGAGCTCCTCTCACAGTGGGCAGCTTGGGAACTGCGCTGAGAGGCAGAGGGCAGTTTTTTGGAATGAAGAGCCGCTGCTTGTGGCATGCTTCTGGCTTGAGCTGCCTGTTCTGTTTTGGAGGATGAGCCCTGTCTTCCCTCACCTGGGCCCATCTTTTCAGGAATTTGGAACTGGGGCAGAATGAGAAGAATCCTCTGTGGTGTCTGGACCTTATTCCCATCCCATAATTTGTGTTATGATGTTGTTAGCTGAGTCACTGTTTGGCTTTGCTCTAGAAATAATATGTTTAGAGCCTCCGTCTGATGCTTCTTGGACTTGGGAAGGCCCCTCCATTTTTTCTGGGCTCTAAGCAACCTGACAGTTTGAGACAGTCACAGTTTACTTAAGTGAGAAAATTAATAAAATTTCTAAACTGACTACATTTAACAGTTACCCTTTTCACACCTAGATGCTGCCTTAGAGAAAATGGGCTGGCCTTATCTATTCCTCAGATTTTTTTCTTTTTTGTACCAGGGATTGAACCCAGGGGCGCTTACCCACTGAGCCACATGCCAGCCCTTTTTATTTTTGATTTTGAGACAGAGTCCTGCTAACTTGCTTAAGGCCTTGCTAAATTGCTGAGGCTCTGAACCTGTAATCCTGCCTCAGCCTCCTAAACTGCTAGGTTATAAGCATGTGCCACCTCACCCAGCTACTGCTCAGATTTTTAATAATTGGTTTTTGCCAATTATTGGGTCCTACTTTTGGTGATGTCATTTCTCAGAGCAGGTACGTGTGATCCAGCCCCCTCCCCAGACCTCTTTCCCCATTTCCTCTCCACTTGCCCTGATAATAAATCGGTTGTATACTCTGCAAGGACAAAGATCTTATCAATTATTTAATCAGCTGCCATACATTTGTATAGTCTATGTTTACATGTGTGAAACTCGTCCTTGGACAAACTACCAAAACATAATTGTGTATCTCTCTTGCCAGAAGCTACATAGAGAACTGGAACCTTAGATCTGGAATGAGAATCTGTAAACTGGTCTATTTGCCAAAGTGTATATTGGATGACTAAGGACCAAAGAAGGCCCCCAGCCGACGTGTGGTTTCTTTTGTTTGTATGTGGCCAGTCTCTCTTGACGTACCATGTGCTGTCGGTGTAACAGATGATTCAATAAATGTCTACAGCAATCTACTTGCCTGTTATCTTCATTTGCCGTGACAATAGTGAAAAGGGCCAGAGCTTTTAGCAGTCAGATATGTAAAGTTAGTTCTACTCCTTGAGAGAAATCGTCCCCAGGCTGGGCACAGAACAGGACTGAAATGGCCCTGTGAGGTCCAGTCTGGCCCCAGTGGAGGGGAATTTTCCATGTGTTGGATAAACTTTTCTCTCAGCCAGAGCAAATGGCCTGGAGGGCGGAGCTCCATGAGCCTGATAAGGTCCTAAAGCAAGAAGTGTCCCCTAGCACAGTATTCAATTGACTTCTTTTTCTTCCATCTTTTCTTTGTGCTGGGGACTCAAGCCACATCTTGGAGACTGCTAGGCTTTATCACTGAGCCACAACGCCAGCCTGACCTTTTTCCTTTTTAATGTGTCTTTTTGATCCTTAAGAAGAGCATAGCTGGGGCTGGGGATGTGGCTCAAGCGGTAGTGCGCTCGCCCGGCATGTGTGCGGCCCGGGTTCGATCCTCAGCACCACATGCCAACAAAGATGTTGTGTCCGCCGAGAATTGAAAAATAAATATTTAAAAAAAAAAAATTAAAAAAAAAAAGAAGAGCATAGCAATTTATCACAAGCTGAGATTCCATTTTATGGCAATTTATGTCTCTCAGGCAGGAGTATGTTTATGGCAAATTGGGGTGGAATTTCACTGTGCACATTATGCACTATGTACCTGGTCATTTAAGCAACTGAAAAACTTTTTCAGGAACTCATAATTTAAAGGGACCCTCAGTAAATCGTCTAATAAGTCACATGAACACCTGCTTCCTAAAATTTGTTGAACTTTATTCTGTGCTGAAGCTGGTTCTAACGTGCAGAAGCCAGAGCCCAGAGGTCTTTCTGAGGGCATCTAATCTTCCTCCTGAATCAAGGCTTCCTTGTGGACCTTCATTTGCTCAGAAGCATTCAAGGCACATGGCTTGGGACAGGCTGGTTGCTCAGTCAAGCACAGGGCTGTGTGACGGTTATGTGCTGTCTCATTTCTGGCTTTCTGGGATATCCTCTGATTCCTAAGTCTCCTTGTGTTTGTGGATATTCAAATGATCGCAGTCACCGGAGGACACTGCCTTCCAGCCCAGAGGACTACTCCTTCATCTCTGCAAATCTCAAGTTACATGACCTAGGACCTCACCTTTTCTCTGGGTTTGGAGCCCTGAGAATCCCCAAATGACCTTGACCTTGGCACAGTTATTTCTCCAAAGGAGCATACAGCAGCATTTGGCAAGATCTCCTTCTTGACCCAGTGCCTATGCTCCTTTAGGTGTCATGAAGATTGCTTGCTTTTCTGAGATTGCTCCTTATGAAGTGGGACAGGTCTGATTTAGAGTCCCATCTTTGCCATGGTGGTCCTTGGGTAACTTACTCTCAGGATCTGCTTTGGCTCTTGTGTTTTGCATAAAGCAGGGCCATCTGCCAGAGGTTCATGTGAGGAATATGTCAGAGAACATGTGTAAAGTCCAGGCCACTGTGCCTGGGCATGAAGGGCATCTCAAGAGAATGGCTTATGAGGAAGGCCTGTGAGCAGGTTCTTTTCTGTGAGGGAGAGAAAGAGGGAAGAGGAACTTCCCTCTGATACCCAGGCCCTCTAGACATGACAGCCTTATTCTCAGTGGCCTGCCTTATTCCTGGGAATGGAATGACTCAGTCACTGAGGTCCTCCAGCCTTTCTCTCTCTTTTTTTTTTTTTCCCACACCCCCGATACTGGGAACTGGACCCAGGGCACTCTACTACTGAGCTACATCCTCAGTTCTTCCTATTTTTTAATTTTGAGACAGGGTCTTACCTAAGTTGCTGAGGCTATATTATAACTTGGAATCCTCCTGCTTCAGCCTCCTGAGTTGCTGGGATTACAGGTGTGTGCCACCACACTTGGATCCTCCAACCTGGATTTTAGGGTTGAAAGAAGACAACACCCTGTTCCTGTTCTGGCCCCCATATTGGTTTCATCCATCCTTCTGCAGCCAGAGGCATGGTCCAACTCCCAAAGATGTGCACAGTGGAGTGCCTACCTCCGGAGTTATTAAAAGGCACCTATGAGGGAATAAAATAATGAGGAACTTCTGAAAATCTACAAAGACTTTTGCTGAGTTCACTGTTTGCTTCTACTCTGAGTGGCTGAGTATTTTTTAAACTAATCATTACTCTCTTCCTTTATTTCAATGTCCCATTAATTCTTTAAAAGCTGGGTTTTTGCCAATCACTTAACCATTTTGGATTTTTAAAAAATAACTGAGTTTTCAGGCTGAGCAGGTAGTTCTTCCCAGAGTCATTTCTTCTCTTCGATTCTGGTGTCCAGGCTGGGATGGCCGTGCACAGCCTGAAATTCTCCTGCTTCCCCAGGCTTCGGTTGTTTGGGAACTGGATGTAGGTTCCCAGCAGGAATGTTTGTTTAGCATGAGCTGATGTTTAGAAGAAGTGGTCTCTTTCTTTGCTCGTCCCTGAAGTAGACAAAGAGGTTGTGGTCAGGCAGGAAAGGCTGCAGGGCCACTTTTATTATTATTATTTTTTTAAAGCTATGAAGCCAGGTTTAAGAAACCTGCAACTTCTCCATTCACAAGGCAGTGGCCTAGCTCTTTATGTGGTGAGGATCGGAAGTCCTGTCAGATTTCTGAAGGAAAAACAAAACCCCTGGAAGCCATGGACCTCTAGCTTTGACCAAGTTAGCCTTTGGCTCTACGGTGCAGGATGCCCCTCCATCCTTGGGCCTGCCATCTTTAAACCTGACAGCAGGGCTGGCAACCCACTGCACTCTTGCATTTTGGGAAGGTGGTTGGGAGCAGTTTCAACCATGAAAAATGCAAGAGGGTAAGGGTGCAGTGCTCCCTCGGCACAGCCTCTGCTGAAGAGAACCCCTCTTGCTATGAAGCAAGTAAGCCTTTGCTGAGCAGGCCCAGGTACCGTTTTTTAGTGTCCACAGTTCCCTTGAGTGCCCGTCAGTGTCCAACTCCAAGGAGTGCTAACTTGACAGGTGAACAGATGCAGGAAGGGGCGACTCATCCCACAACAGACAAGCAATCACCAGGGATCTGGCCTTAGCCTTAACCTGCCAAATTCTTCCTTGGGGGTGGCCTCCTCAGCACTGCAGTGGCAGAAAAGGTGAGCTTAGGAGTCAACTCCCTGGAGAGAGCATCATGGAAGGAGAAAAGCGCAACACCAAGTTTTTCCAAGTGTTAACCATTTATAAATAAGTACATTTGCTTTCATACATACAGCTCATTGTACAGATGACGCTCTGTATACATGGGGCAGGAAAATGCATTCATTTGAACTTTTCACATCTATCTCACATAGCTCACATGTACAGACAATAAAACTGCTCAAGCAAGTACAGCAAAGGAAAGTGTCTTCCTTAATTACGGGGCTAGAGGCCTCGTCTGGGTGTGGGGCATCCCCACTGCACGAGTTCACGACTGTGTGGTGTTCAATATATCAGGATAGAGAACAAACATGCATTGGATAATATACTGTACAGAGAAAGTCCTTTACATCTGAGTTATAGAAAACCTAAAGGAAAACTAAGTGCATTAAAGCTTTTTCCAGCAAGTGTCTTGAAAGGACAGCAAAGAGGAAGAATCAAAATCATATTAGTACAAATCACTCTTTAATTGTAGACTGTACATGTCTGTACTAATTAAAATCATCTTGGATTTGGAGGAGACAGAACAGAGATACAGATGCTGTGCTAGATGGAAAGGAGGCCATGCCTGAGAATGGCACCTGCCCTGAGCCTGACAAGGAACTGGCCCCACTCAGCAGGAATCAGCCAAAGGTAAATAACAACAAAAACCCAGAACAGGAAGTGTGACTTACAGGATTTCCAAAATAATCTGTGAATGGAGTGGAGATCTGGAGCCAGCATCTCTCTCTCTCTTTTCTTACCCCAGTAAATTGGTACACAGTAAGGCAGGTACATTCAAGTACTGAATTTTGCAGAATTTACTCTGGTCCTGAGGACTGACGGAGTGAGTTGAGTCCTCCTTGCCAAATTTCCTGGTTAATGGTTAGCAAAGAAAAATTCAGCCAGTAGGTGCTACAACAACTAAGCAGCTAGGCCACTTCCTGTCCACAGAGTAGGTCTATCTTAAAAAACGAGAGCGATGCTGGCCTGCATCCATATGCACCCAGCCACAGCCTGACTGGTCAGCTTAGTGTAGGCATCACAGAGTCAGCAGGAGGAAATGAGATGACGGGGTGAGGAAACATGAAAGTAACACTTGATTTTTGGTGTCCAATTATGCATTCATTTGGTACTGACTTTCAAAGCTCTGACTGTGGCAATCATGTGGCCACAAGCATCTCAGGGTGGCTCAGCTGCTGTGAGGCATTGGACACCGAAATGAAGGTTACCAACACTTCAGCCCTTGAGTGGTCTGTATTATAAAAGGAGTTGATGAAGACCCAGTGATAATTCAAGTAGCTCCACACAGTGGCTCCACCAGCCCCATTGTGCTTGTGTCCAGGCTCCCAGCCAGCCACCTTTTCTTGGGAGCAGCCAGAGCTGAGTTCAAGGCATTGCATGGTGAAGGTTTCCATGACACGTCTTTGTAGGTAGCTCTTACCCCTAAGCCCTTTTGTTCATTGTTGTTAGTCATGGTAGATGGTCGGTCTGGAATTCCTAGAGAAAAGCAGCCTCACCTCTCAGCAAGCATGCAGCAGGGTAGCAGCCCTCTTCGTGGAGGCTGCAGCAGGCTGCCTTTGTAGGTCTGCTTCTTGAGAAGTGGGCAGCCTGAGGACACACAGGTGGGGTGGGCGAGGCTGCTGAGCACTGGGAGCCTCAGTGGGAGATGGGGCACAGGGGTGGGCACATCCTGCCCCTGGGGGGAGCATGTTCCGTTTTGTGGCAAAGATTCAATGAGCAACTGGTTTTGTCCAAGGCATTTCTGCAGTAGAAAAATAACTATCTTTGAATCAAACCACCCAACTATAACACTTCTGGAGTTACAAAGGTTGGTGGCTGAGAGGAACTGAGAGGAGGGATGTTCAGGGGGGAAGAAAAAGGTCCTCTGCATACCCATCCATCCACCAGAGCAAGGGAGCTCTCTCCGGCCTTCTCCCAGCCTCTGTCTGTCTGAAGGTCCAAAGCAGATAGTGTTGTCTGTCTTGCTATAACTGGCATGAATACATGAAGACCCCTTCCAGGTCTGTGTTCCCTTCTTCCTGAACCTCTGAATCTATGGGCCTGCCTGCTGCCCTGGAAGCGGCTCCTCAGGAGGGGATGCTGCCATTTTTTTTTTTTTTGCTACCAGACAAATGTGGTGCAGAGCCACAGCGACACCTAGTGGTAAAGCATGGTGAAGCACAAGTGACATCCACATATCCACTGTATGTGACTAAATCTCAAGGAAAAATACTTACGGATATTAAATTAGACACTAATTAATTTTTAATTTTTCTATTGGGTACATCTCTGGAATATAAAAATACCAATATTTAGAGGGGTTCATAAACTACTATACAATATAAGGACTGAGAACACCTTTCTCTAAGCTGTTCTGTTTATAATAATTTAGTAAAAGTGTTTAATAATCCAGGCTTAACCAAAATTGGCAAACTTGTATATCTGGACATTGACTATACACGATTCTAATTAATGGAGTTTTCCTGAGCCATCAAGTTTAAGCTAAACACATCTAAAAAGAGGGCGCAGGGGAGAGGAACAAGAAGGGTTTGTGCTCTATTAACTTGGGACTTTAATAGTGCACATCTGCAACCCAGACAGATACAACAGCAGATACAAAATGGTCTCCATTTTGTCCATGCCAAATTCTCATGTTACACAGGTTTTCCCTTTACTTTGTAAATAAACATTAATTTTTAATTGTTAACTGTGTGCCTTACTGATCCAGTAAATAAAGTAACCATGTCTCAGGAGTCCCTAAGAAAATTGCTGGAAAAGCACTTTAAAATCACTGCAAATATTTTTTGTATTTAAAAATTCTTAATCTTTTTGATGCTTATATACAACAGTTATTTCTTGTGCTATAAATGTTGTGAGCCACTGCTTGATTTCTTTCTTTTCCTTGTTTTTTTTTTCTTGAAAAATACACTAAAAGACAAGAGCGATTCTGCTTATTTCTAATGAAGACACTACTCACAATTAAATATCCAGTATTTATCAGAGTTACAAATTCAAACAGTAAAGTGCACCCATTTATAGACAGGATGTGATGGAAACCCATTAGTGCAAGGATTCTAGGCAAATGGAACATATGATTTGGTGAGAAACCTATAAGCTGAAGTTGTCACCTCTGTCTCCATTTCAGGGAGTGATGTGAATTGGGTGAATGGAACTTACCAGGTTCCTTTGAAACATTTCCTCCCACCTGAAGCCAGACATTAATTCGGCAAATGTTTGTTGCTGTGGAAGGGGTATCTCTAAAATACAGTACTAAGATCATCCCATGGCAGTGAAGTAGCAAAACAGGGCACAGGCAGTCTGCTTCCAAGGAAATACCTTGTCTCTTGCCCCAATTAACTCCTGTTGGCATTTTCTGATCAAAAACAACTGGAGTCCAGAAGTGATATCTACACCTTTTTGCATGGCTAAAATAGAAATTGCATTTTGACTATTGACATTTTAGATTTCTTGCCTGATAGGGTGTAGACCCCGAATCTCTTTATTTGTATTGGAAAACCTAGAGGAGACCCTGGGGAGAGGTGGCATCAATGGCATAACTGTAAAATCATGACTTGCCTCCCCACCTGGACAGACAAGTGCAGGTGGTATGTGTTGTTTAATAAGCAGGGACACTTTTCTAATAGACTAAGAAATTCTTCAAAATGTAGCAGCTCCCCACTAAGAGGTGGTTAAAATGGGATGAGATGCAAATAGACCAACAGGCCTGAGGCCTGGCCAAAAAGACACCTGAGGCTGCTAGGTTCCTAGCTACAGGCTGATACCACTTCATCTTCTTCTTTCCTCTTTTTGGGGTGCTGGAAATCAAACCCAGGGACTCATGCTAGGCAAATACTCTACCACTGAGCTACACCCTTAGCCCACACTTCATCTTCCCGATGTGGGATGGAGAGAGATCGATGGGTAGAGGCCACTGCTGCCCACCCAGGTCTAGTTGAGTAGCAGGCAGTCTTTACACACCAGGTGAAAAAGTGTCTGGGTCTTCAGTTGGCCCCATTGTTTGCTTCCGGCACACAGAGGTGAATCCTGGCCTGTTCAGGCTTGGGACTTGGGGCTCAGGGGTCCATCTATTTGGTAGGATCTTAGTCAGTAGAGATGTTTCTGATCTCAGCTTTATGCTCCCCATGTCTTAATGATCCTTTCTGAATACTTAACTACAAACAGGTCTGGTCACAGTTGGATTTTATTCAGGAAACTGCTCTTTCTGTAGCCCTTTACTAACAGGAGCAGAATGATTCCTAATAGCAGAGAACTAATGCTCTTTTGTTGAATTTCAGCAGGTTAGTTTGTCGGGTGGAGTTTCTTAATTGAGTGCAGCCAGTGCCAGGACTGTGCTAAGGCTTTGGTCACAGTGGTATTGCTGTCCATTTCATGGTGGCCTCCATCACTCAAAGGTCAGGTGAGCGAACAACCACAAGACCTAGAAGATGTGTAGAGAGTGACTAGAGCAGAAACCTGCCATCTGTGTTGTGCCCCAACTCAGGGCTAGAAGACAGGGCAAAAAGGGGTCCGTCTCCACCCTGAAACATTTTTTGCTGTGTATGATTTTTAAATATCACCCCCATAAACACTCCTAGAAAAAGAAAAAAATTCCTCTAATAGTAGAAAATGAAGCTACAGATCTCAAAATGGAATTAGATAACAATAGGCATGGAATGCAATGGCCCTGGGTAGAAATCCTGGCAATCAATCTTACAGTCCCAAGAGAATCCAATTAGCTTCTCAAAGAACCAAGTTCCTCATAACACCATCTGGGTTCGAACAAAGAGGGCCAACAGAACAAAATCTGGCTCTAGGTGAAGATACAGCTAAAAGGCTTATTGTACCAGCCAACCTTCAGGAAGCTCGCTTTTTGCAGAATCAAATGCTCAGTGTTTCAGGATCTAAAATGTAGACTTTTTTAAACACAGACTTTCTATAGCATTTCACCGAGAATTCAGAACAATCTTTCTTTTCTCGCCCTCTCTCTTTGTGTGTTTATTCCCTTCCCTACCCCTGGAAAATCAGATCAGTAGATTAAAATGCCTCTTAGAAAACCAATGTAGTGACATTTTAAATAATTATTTTGCACACCCCCCCCCCCGACTTTTTTTTGGCAGTGCTGGGGATTGCACCCAGGGCCTTGTGCATGCTAGGCAAGTCTCCACCTCTGAGGTATATCCCCAGTCCCTTTCTTCCAGTTTAACAGACTTATTTCTTCTCTCTCTCTCCCTCCTTGATTCTTTTACCCCACAGGAAGACCAGTAATAATGCAAATGAACATTCTAGATCTGATGACTGCACGGAGCTGGCTGACAGCCTGGGGGAAGAGACCATGGCACACAAATGCACTGGGGCTGGCTATTTGGATAACACTGGATAAGAATGCAAAGGCAAAGGGGCATCACACTCTTTCTAAAGTTCCTAGAAGAAAACGAACAAGAACATCTTACTTTTTAAAAAAGAAAAAAAGACATTTATACAACAAGAACATCAGTGAAAGCGATTGTCTCCTGGAAAAAGCTGACCAGTATGTCTGATCTCCCTGGGTTAAAGCACACGGCACAAAAATCTCCTCGTTGGCATCTGAAGAGAGGGAGAGAGCATGTGGCTGGGGCACAGACCAGAGAAACTAAAGTTCTGGCTCACCAGAGGCCAGCTTCCCAGTCGGCTGCATGCAAAGAATTTCAGCATGTGGGCTGCCATCTCTGAACACCACACAGAAACTACATGAGAAATTAAGCCAGAGAACTACCTCAAATGTGGAAACCAAGCCTGAAAATGTGCAGTGAAAACATATGGGTCTCACTCCAACAAATGTCTTTTAAACATTAGACTCCACAAATGGTCTCTTTGGTTTGATAGGGGATGTCTGCCCTTGTCGAGAGTCCCGGGACAACTGCCTGTACAGGTTGTCCTGGTATGCCTGAGCCACAGGTAGGGTCCGAGCCACCTTCACATCAGGATAAGAGGAGGCCTGGCTGACTCTCTCCAACAGGTCTCCACGGGACCCATTAGCCAGCATCCCATGGGGGCTATAATAATCGTCCTCTAGCAAATGGCCATTCTGTGCATTGTTGGTTTTGTTATAAAAGGCAATGTTGCTGATGGATGACGGTGGACTGAAGGACTCAGGCTGAGGCAGGCTGCCTGGAGACGTGGGACTGAGAACAGTATCCACTGACGACACTGCCCAGGTCCGATTCTGCTGGTGAAGGTGGGGGTACTGTTGAGTCCGGGCTGTTTTATCTATGATCCCCATGAATGGTGTGGTCCTGGATCGAGTGGGCTCACTGGGGTAACCTCCCTGAGTGGGAGACACTGGTGACAGCTCATCACATGACCTATCATATGCCGGTTTCAGTGGGATTTCCATTTGCTGAATTGAGGAAGAAGGCCGGAAGGTAGGAGTTAGGTTGGAGGTGGATGAGATGCTATTGCTAGATGGAGAGAAGCGAAGGCCCACGCTCTGGGAGTGCAGCAGCGGCCTGGGAGTTGGTGGATGGGGTTTGATTTCATTAGGGTTGACACTGATAGGTCTTCTGATTAAATGTGACACATCAGGGGAACCTAATTGGCTGGAGGAACGCTCCAGATCTAGTTTTGAGTGACAGACTGGGTAATAGGATGCTGATTGGCTACGCCCAATCTGGGGTGTCTGGCTGTATCTCATACCACCACGATATGCTGAGGAAGGTCGTTGTGGAAGATCTTCTTTGGTCAACCCTCCATGCTGACAGATGGCACCTGCACTCAGGCTGGCTTGGACATGCTGCACAGGCCTCCCATCTCCTACAATCCCCCCAATTGACCCTTGATAAACCAGTCGGCTCTGACTGACTCCTATGTCTCCTTGTGAAGACTGGTATTTACTGGCCATTGAATGGGTGACTTGGCCATAGGCTCCTGTGGGGATGACAGTGCTTGAATGAACTGCTGAGCTGGGCTGGTTACTTCTCACAATCTGGGCCTTGGCAGGCTGGAGCCTGAGCCCTTGCTGGGGAACTGCCACAGGAAGCTGAGGCATCTGGTAAGGACGCTGGGCCATCTTGGATAATGGAGATTTTGGTCTGCCAGGAAGCTGACTAACATTTGTTTCCTGCTGATAGCGCACGGGTGAACCAGATTGGGATCTATAGACACTCATGCTTTCAGCTGGAGGGCTGGCCCTATACTGAGGGCCTCGGCGGAGTGGGGAAGGGGGAGGGCTTGGGTATTCTTTGCCCTGCCCTCCCACAGGAGGGGGGCTAAACCGATAAGATCCACCCTGATGAGCTGGGGAAGTATGTGGTGGACTAGGCCTGTAATGAGAATTCTGGTGAGTTGGAGAAAGAGCAGGTGAGGTGGACTGATATCCCTGTCTAGTGGGAGAACCTACAGAACTATTGGACCGGAAGTCAAAAACCTGGTGAGAGCCAAGAGGTGAGCTAGAGATGTAGGCTGAATCCCGATGGGCTGGAGAGGAGGGTGGGCTCTGGATTATCGGGAGCCCCTGGCTGGGCCGAGCCTCTGTCTGGAGGCCGATGGAAACATTTTCTACATCCTGTTCCAGGTACTCCTCCTCGAATATATCTTGTACAGAGTATACATCTTCATTCTGTGGTTCAGGTTCTGTTTCTTCTGGTAGCTGCTGCTGAGGTTGCTGCGGAGGCGGCTGCTGCTGCTGCTGCATCTGTCTACACTCCTCTTCCACTCTCATCAGAAGTCTCTGGATCTCGCGGTTGTTTGGACACAGCTTGATGGCCTCGTTCAGGTCCTCTAAGGCTGCTGCAAACTGTCTGCTTGACAAAACGCAAACATAAGGATGGGAGTTATTCTGAATCAACAGGAATCACCAAGAGTTGAAAATATGGTTACTATTTTGGAAAACTCTGGTGGCATCTGTAGAAGTCTGGGGTGATTTGGTTTAGTTAGATTTTTTTTTTTTTTTTTGTGGTACTGGGAAGTTAACCCAGGCCCGCTTACCACTGAGCTCTATCCCTAGCCTGTTTTAAAAATTTTATTGATTTATTTATTGTACTGGGGATTGGACTCAGGGATATTTGACCACTGAGCCACATCTCCAGCCCTATTTTATATTTTATTTAGAGACAGGGTCTCACTGAGTTGCTTAGCACCTTGCTTTTGTTGAAGTTGGCTTTGAACTTGCAATCCTCCTACCTCAGCTTCCCAAGCTGCTAGGATTATAGGTGTGCACCACAACACCTGGTTAAATTTTATTTTGAGACAAGATTTCACTAAGTTGCCCAGGCTGGCCTTGAACTTGTGATCCTACTATCTCAGTTTCCTCAGTGCACCACCATGTCTGGCTAGTTTGATTTGTAAGGAAGGAAACAAGTAGGCTGTCATTCAAAAAGAATCTGGAATGATTCCCTAGACCTTTCATCCTCAATCTCCCTTCTGGCCTCTCTGGGGTTAGTGGAGAAAAGTTCCCACTGTGTCAGTCCAGCCAGGCCTTTCAGAAAGATTATCTTGGTGCCCAAATACACATCAGAAGTATGAGGGTTGAGTTGTCATTTACAGTGTCACTGTCAAATAACTTAGGAACAAAACAGTAACTCTAATATTAAAATACCTTGCTGATCAAGCAGAAAACTTTCTTTTATATTCTCAATATTTTGGCTTTAAATTTCAGGCCTGTTCCGCTCTAAGCAAGAACCCTGTACTCTGCCCTTTCTACCCCTCATCCCACAGCACTGCTGTGTCTCATTCTGCTACATCAAAGCTGGCAGGGATTAGGCTTGCTGATAGGTAAATCAGGTTGGAGCTGAGCTTACCCCAAACAGATTCCAATTTACAATGAGAAAGTGAACTTTGAAGAGACATTCCCATCCTCTCTATTAACACTGCCTGGCAAAGCAATGAGTAGCAGTGATTAGCCTTGTGGGAAAGGAATAAACCAAAGGGAAAAAAATTTAATAGTAAAGTTTCTGTGAAAACTTTGTTACACTAGCTAGTTAAGATGAATATCACTGCCACTATCATCGCTTGACTGTCTGGGTTTGATTTTCATGGCCATATCATATCCGCCTGGTCATAGCAGTGAACCCAAAGCAGTTCTTTCCCATGCAGAATTTGAGAGATGGTGGGGAGCTGGGTAGGAGGCATCAAGGGCAGTGACAAGTTATCCAAAGGACAATGATGGCAGGTTCTAGGTCCTTCTGGAGGCTTTTAGTACCTAGTGACCATCCAGTAGATGGGCATGAGGAACTGAGGACAATATTTCTCTTGGCCCTCCTGACTCTCTGTGTGTATGTGTGTTAGTGGTGGTGCTTTAGGTGAGGAGAAAGGTTGATGCCCACCAGATTTGAGGAGAGCCTCAGAGGGAAGACAAATAAACCAGGGGTTTCGGAAATGTCTATGAAGAGAGGAGCCTGTGATGGTCAGTTAGTGATCCACTCTGCTTTTCCTTTAAAAGGGTCAGTGGAATATTTTGATTAAGTGATTTCCTCTTTAAATCATTAGTGTCTCTTTATGCTCTCTGATTTGTGGTTGAAAAGTGACACATGGCAGAGGCTTCTTGGAGGAAAGTGCCATTCACCATTTTACTTTTCTCCCAAAATAAGGTTTTGGTCTCCATATCCCAGAAGATTTGCTGATCTTGAGCTGAGTGCTGCTACCAGAGCCATCCCCAAGCCTGGCCTAAGAGTCCTCAAGGAGAGACATATTTGGGTACATATGCCCCAGGGTGGCCTACATTGCCTTGGCCAGCTTTTCAGAAAAGAGACCTCTTGCTTTTCACCCTTTCTCTCTCTCTCTTTCCTCACCTGCTGCTGCGTTTTGCCCTTGCTCTTGCATAGTAAGCTTCATAAGATTTCGGTTTCAGCTCCAGGGCCTTAGTAGCAAATTCCTCCGCCATTCCAAAATCCTGTCATTACAATAGGTGTGCAAGTGAGTCATTGAAGAGATATAAAAAATAGACAACTTGGGAATAAAACAAATTATATGTACATTTTTTTGACATTTCTGGATGGAATACCTGGGATTCTGGACATGCCTGCCATGGTTCTAGCCACTGGTCCACAGACTAAAAGTTTCCTTGTGCCTGCAAATGTTCACTGGACTTTATGGCCCAGAGTATTACAACACTTTTAATCTGGCCTTTTTCTGCTTTCTAGCCAAATTCCTTTTAGCCCAGAAGCCAAATGTCAACCCTTCACAGTGAAGCTCCTGAAGTTGGAAACTTAAATTCGTTACACATACTTATGAGGCAAACAGCAAGACATTACCACCTCAGGTGGCCCCTCATCTTACCCACACCATCCTGCTGTGCCCACTAGTCCTTGGTTTCCTAACAGACGAGTGAGAATGTGTCCTATGGAATCCAGGAGGAAGGGGTCTGAGTAAAGGCAAACTGTACCGACTACGGAAATGGTATAGGGATGTCAGACAAACCTGGGCTCAGTTCTCTGGTTTGCATCATAACTCCTCAGAGAGTACTGTGTATTTTCTCACCCATACTTAACTCCACAGGTTGGATCGAGCATGATAAAGCATCCAAGTGCTATATGTAGTTCCTAGCACATAGTAGGTGTCTAATAAATTGTACTTTCTATTTCACAGAGGCTTCTCTAAATTGTTCTTCCTCTTACTTGGTTTCTTGATTAGGAAACATTTAAAATAAAAAAAATAAAACAAGAGAGGATGCTGGCTGTAACTGGGGTCTGGGCTACACTGGAGGCTCCCTGGCGGAAATCTGCCTTTTCTTTGAGAACACCTGGGAACAGGGGGGACCAGGTGGGACAATGCTAATAGGCAGAAGCATTGTTTATAATAGAGTCCATGGTTTTTAAGATCCCCTTAAATACTAAGCTAAAGGGGAAGGGCTTTTCTTCTTTAATGTCAAAGCCATAGTATAGCTCAGTAGCCTCTGGTTACATTCATGATTCTTAAGGGAGAAAACAAGGCTTTAGGCAGTACAAAGGCCCTGGGGCATAGGTAAAAAATGTTCTGAAAAATTAATGAGAAATTTTCTACTGAAGAAGATAGACTTCTGGTGCTTAGCACCAGTGTTGGCCCATGGGAGGTAATTATTAACTTTCTGAACAAGTATGGAGCTAGAGAAAGTATATGAACATATATGGGCCATGTTCTATCCCTACTCTGTTTTCTACCTCATTCTTTTATTTTTTCTTTTGGGATAATCATCACTTCTGGGAATATGAGAGTACTTTTAAGAATTTGATTATTTGCTAGGGAAAGAAAGAAGCTAAGGTTGGCAGCAAATTCTGAGCCTTGCCTCATTCTCACTAGCTGAGGACATAGAAAACCCATGGGGCTGCTGCTTCCATTTCCCAGGAGAAACCTCAAGCAGAGGAACCTTGCTGCCTTCACCCAAAGATGACTCTCCGACACTATCTTCCCTCAGCAGGAATCTAATCCATGTTCCTGCTTCTCTCAGCACCCTGGGACAACTCTGCCTTGAAGGTCGTAACTGTGTCCTCTGTGACAGCCATGTTTGTTCTCAGGGCTCTTTTCATTGTCAGGTTTTAGGACTCGGGTGGATGACATAAAGGTCACATACATAAATAATCTTTCTGAAATTGATAGCAGATTCCTTGCCACTAAGGCTGAAATCTTGCTTCTGGTTACATTCCTGCTTGGCTTAGATTATTTCTATCTCCTGAGGAATAGTGAGACCCTAGGCTGGCGAATGTCAGCAATTCCTGACGTGATCTTAGTGATTCCGAGTATCTCAGAGAGTTATCTCGCCTCAGGAATGTCTGTATTCGTGGAAGCAGTGACTGAGGGTGTTTGAGACTGTATCTGTAAGGCAGGCAAGAAGGACCAAGGATGATTAGGGTGAGAAAGGGCCAGAAGAGTTCAGAGATTCCTTTCAGAGCAAGAAGGGACACAGTATGCTGGAATAAAAAGATAAGAAAAGAAGCAAAAAGTTCAAGAACAGCCTTAGAAATTAAAACTTTAAGTCTATGGTCCTGAGTTGTCTTCCCAGCCTTTCCTTAGATGACTGGGAAGGAAAGGAAGGGAATGACTACAATTGGTACCAAACTGCAGCTGGAATTCTAATGACTATTGCCCTCACATTTTCCCAAAGACCAGAAAATAGATTAGGCGGATAGGGAAGAGGATGATGATATTCCAATCATTTTTAGTGGGAAATATGAAAATTCAGAATGCTACAAAGTGCCCAAAGCACTTTCTCCACTTCTGGATACAGATTGTTGGCTTTGTTTCTTTCAAATTGCAAATGTCAGTGTTCTGTGAAGGACAACCAAGCTCTGTGGCAGACAGGACTGCAGGGACCTAGTACAAGCTAGTGAGTGGCATGAACTTTCAACTTCTTGGACTGCAAAAAGGAGTTGGGGATGAGAGGGACTTACATTCATTTTCCTGCGACATCGAGAGAGGTTGAGGAGGAGAGACACCTTTAGCTCCCGGAAGGTTTTCAGGTCCTCACCAAACCCTTCTCTAGGGAATTTCTTCAGAGCATACTGGTAGCGCTGGGCAGCCTCCTTTACTTTACCTTTCTAATAGGGGTAGAAAAGCACATTGTTGGTCTGCTGAGCAGCTGAGGAAATTTGATCTCTGTATCCTTCCTGCTCCTAGAAGTTGACACTCCCATACACCCTGATGGTGAGAACAGAAGGATCTCAACTCCTCTACAGGAGACTCACTTGACAGGAAAGGAAAAGTAGTGGACCCCCAAGTTACAAGACACAGAAACAAAGTCTTGGCAAATGAAAGGCCCTGGACCCCAGCTTACCAACAGGATTCCAAAGGGCTGACCTGGCTCATGTCAAAACTCATTTTTCTTGAACTGCTCTGCCTGGGACAAACCTAACTTCCTAGTCACAAACACTCCACAGTAATTGCTTCTCCTGTGGTTTCTGGCTTGTCTGGAGACTCTCTTTCCTATCTGATGTTCTACCTTGCTTCCCTCCAGGAGAGCATATTCTCTTCCTCACATAGAATGTGAGAGTCCAGCTGTTGTTTCCTCTAATCTTAGGGCAGAAATTAATGTCAATCAGTGGTGGAAAAGGCATGGGGAATGTGGTAGGAGGGAAGTGAAGCTTAGAATCTGTGATTCCATCTGACTTTGTAGGAAAGATTATGACTGACCTAGGGATCTGGCCACAGGGGACTTGAATTTTTCTTACATTTTGTTTCTGAAAACTTGTAAGCTGATCCCAGAAAGAGATGCAGGAGGCCCCTACCTTTCTCTACTCTGTACTGCTGCAACTCCCCAGGGATCCTGATCTTTTATTTTCCCTTTAGCACCTTTTGCTAGGAGAGATATGAAGTCTTCCAAGGTAGAATTCAGTGTAAGAACAATAATACCTCTGCCTATTTTCATTAGAAGTTAGGTCTCCTTGCCCTTGGAAAACCAGAAATTATGCTATGACCAGGGCTTATGTTCTCAACAGTGAAGCCCTTCTGAGATCATAACTAAAACACCTATAGTAATGAGAACCTTCTGTGAAGTGTGAAATCAAGGTTGCATCAGGGATTAAGCTTCCTGAAAGACCTGTATTATCATGAATCTCACTCAAAAGGTACTCAGGAAATAGAATTCTACTCTCAGGAACTCAACACTTTTAACACGATGGAAGAATGATATGATTACAATTGTTTCCTCATCTTTTAGGCCTGGGGATGCCTCAGGGATTCCTACTGCTAAAACTGGGATTGGTTTGTACTCATCTTTACGAGAAGATGATCCAGCTAATTTAAACACCACAAGATGACTTTGGCATGGAATGTTCTAAAGGAACTTCCTATGGGCCATGTTTATGTTAGGGGACAGAGACTTCAACTCAAATTGTGAGTACAGAGAAACTTCATATTTTTGGTTGTCATTCAGTGACACTGAACAAATCTTCTAACTGCTATTTGTCTTGGTTTTCTTATTTTATTCAAGGATGCTGATGGGCTATTCTACTACAGACTTTTAAATCTATGTATATATTAAACATGAAAGCTAAGAACAGTAGATTGGAAATAGCTATATTATGTAATTTTTCTTTTACTTGTCTCATGAGTTTCTCACTTAGCAACTTCCACGTAGAATCTGTTACTGCTTGTTAGGGACCAGGTTGAACCAGGGCTTTGGGTTTATCAGCTGCAGGCAGGTATGGGCTACTCTTGCTTTCTTGTTGGGAAGGCAAAATCCCAGATCCTCAACTTAGGAACCCATCACCAAGGAATGACATTCTATCTCTGCTTCTAATAAAAGATGAGAATTGCCAAGATTCGGAAGATTCTATGTGTAGATAACAGTGGCTATTTTGAGGAAACTGTTCCTCCTGTCCTCACCTTATAAAACATGTCCCCCTCTTCCATCAGCTTGCTCAACAGGATGATCATGATGTCTGGTTTGGAGGTAGCCATCGCCCATGTGGCTGGACCTGTAGTGTACAGGATGCATGATGGGTAAAAAACTCATACAATGTAAGGGTGGTAGGAAGCTAGGTGAAAAAAATATCCCGGGGGAATTTCTGCTGAGAGAACAACTTGCTCCACAATAATTACCTTGTCTTTTAGACCTGGGAGTATTTTAGTGACTCCCACTGCCAAGAAGCTGTATTGGATTTGTATTCACCTTAAAATAAGAATATCTGAACTGTCTAAGCTTGCACCGTAGAAGGGCAGCAAAGCCTGCATGTTCTTATGAGTATACAATGGTGTCGTTTGGAATTATTTAGATCAGGAAATTAGGAGAAAGGGTTTACATTAAAGTTACCACAAGGTTTGAGAAATCCAAGAAGGTTAATTTATTTTTGATCCAGGACTCAAAAGTCCCAGGTGTTTAGACTCTTGCTTTTTAAATATGTACTTCAGAGAAGGGAAACCACTGAAGACTCTAAAGGCTCCCTTAATTTATAAGTAGCAGAAAGGACTCCCAGAAATTCACTTTGAACCAGGAGCACAGTTTGAATATCAAACAAACACGAAACAAACCAACATTGCTGAGGACTACTTTACCCACAAAAAGAAGAAAAGGTTAAATTATTAGTTTACAGATGCCTGAATTATTTACGAACTAAATTTTACAGGGTTAGTTATCAAAAGTTCAAGTTATTCTCTACAACAGTCATTTTTAAAAAAATCTTCTTTTAAGGTGAAGTAAATTAAAAGATTAGAGGTGTAGGGAACTCATGCAGGCTAAAATCAAAGAGGAGAAGGCAAAGCTGACCAAGCCATCAGACCACGCCTGATGCTGACAGCGGTGAAATATACCTCGTGGGCGACTCGGTAACGTCTGACAACCTTCAAAGAAAGGAGAAAACAAAAAGTTGTAGGAGAGGAAAAAAAAAATGGATGAAGGTGAAAAAAAAAAAAAAAGAAGGAAAAAGCAGCAGTGAGAGGCAGGCAGCAAAAAAGCCAGCACATCAGCCAACCCTTGTCTACAGTTCTGTGGGGAGGGGAGCAGCTGGGACAGCAGCAGCAGGGGCTTGAGAGTCTGAAGCACATACAGAGCAAGGGAAAGCAAAGGCTCATGGCGCTGCAGGGATCCAGGATGCTCACAGGGTGGGCTAGTACAGAGGGAGCACTAAGCTATGCTTAAGCTTAAGGTCAGGGCTTTCTTTTGGCTAAGGTTTCTAGGGGCATGGCAGAGAACCATGAAACTCTGGACACAGGGAACTACAGATCATGGCTCAGCAACTTTTCTGTTCATTTGGGCAATAACTGGGCCAGGGCAGAAGGGAAGCTATATTTACACCAAATACCCAGGGCAGCCAGGCCACTGGACCAGTCTGGCCCCTCGGCACAGATGGCCAATGCCATCTTTCTTTCTCCTACCTATTTTAGCTCCTTTCTTCAGGAGAGTGACAACAACAGAAGTGTTCCGGCACCCAACTGCCCTATCCAGAGGGCGCATCCCACTGTAGTCAACATGCTCAATCATGGCTCCATGATCCACCAGGAACTGGACCTAGAAGATGGATCAAGCAAAACAGTTAACAGAGGAGCAAGGGTTCAACGTGGACCACTAAATTGTTACTTCACCTTTAATCTCAAGACAGTATCACAATGGAGAATCTTCCCTATTCCTACTGTCCTGAGGCTAGTGTGAAGACACTCACCACCTCAGCATCACCATAGAAAGCTGCCAAGTCCAGTGGGGTGCGGCCATTCTTGTCGGCATGGTCTGTGGCAGCTCCATTATCCACCAGAGAACGTACTACTGAGAGATGACCCTTCAAACAAGCCCAGCTGAGGGCTGTCAATCCTTCTTTGTCCATTAAAGCAATAGAGGCACCTATAGGAGCAAGTGATAATATAGGACTGAGGAAACATGAAAATTCATAGCAGATGGAAAACTAGTACTTAAGATATAAACACTGCCAAAGAACACCTTTTGTTTTTGGATGTTTCATTTTAATATTGACACTAATATATCAGTTATATCTCAATAAAACTATTGAAAATTGATCTTGGGACTGGGGATGTCCCAAGCAGTAGTGCGCTCGCCTGGCATGCATGGGGCGCTGGGTTTGATCCTCAGCACCACATTAAAAAAATAAAATAAAGATGTTGTGTCTACCGAAAACTAAAAAATAAATATTAAAAAATTCTCTCTCTCTCTGTCTCTCTCTCTCTTAAAAAAAAATTTATCTGATAAGCTGCCAATATAATAGAGCCCAGTAGTTTTACTAGGTATTTTAAGTGTTCTACAGTCTATTCCCAAGCTTAGTCTCTATCAGTAAGTTTCATTATTCTCCTGTGGGAATCTTCTACTTTGGTCAAATGGATGTGCTCATTGCCTCTAGAATCTCCTCCCATAGATGCTCCTGAATCCTCACCTTTGGTTAGGTTGCTCCTATGGGTTAAATACTTCACTTTTCCCATAACTTGCCTTACTTCTACCCATTTACTAGAAACTGTTCCAAATCCCACTGACTCCAATAAGCTCTCACAATCTGTCATTAATTTATATTTTGAATCTGCTTAATATATTCTTTTATCTGTTTTTATGTGTCCCATTTGCATATAAAAATTCTCAATGAATGTTTTCTGAAATGAGTGGAAGTCTTCCATTTTTAACAGTGTAAACTGCTTGAGAGATTCTCATAAAATAGGAGCCCAATACATGTTTATCACTTTATTCCCCCTACAAAAGTAGAGGCCATGTACTCATGGGAGGATACTGAACCCAGGTCACAAAAGAAATTCTGGATTTAATCTAAAAAAGCCCAGTTCATAGAAACATAGAGTAAAATGATATTTCCCAGAGGCTGGGGGATGGAGCAATCAGAGAGAGATTGGACAAGGACACAAACTTTCAGTTACACAGGAAGAATAAATTCAAGACAGTTACTGTACATGATGGTTACTATAATTAAAAACAATATTTTGTACAACTGAAAATTGATGACAGAAGATTTTAAGCATTTCCACCACAAAAATGAGTATTGTGAAGTAAAAGTAATGTTAAGTAGTTTGATTTAGCCATTCTTCAATGACTACATATAGCAAAACATCATGTCACTTTAAAAAATAATTAAGAAATCACTCAGAGTTTAAACAGTTAGCCATCTTCAATAACCCCATACCTACCATCTTAATCCCTTTTATATTCTGCATCTGTATCAAACATTTCTAGTTTCATCTGTAAGGATCAAACATCCTTTACACACTGTTATGTAAAATTAGTCTGCAGTTCAATATACATTTTGTTCTTAGGCCTAGGCTGCAACTCTTCGATGGCAGGGAACCCATCATTTCCTTGACAGTTTTGAAGAGCACCTAAGACAATCTCTACATACAGATGGAAGGTCCTACTTACTAACTAAATTAGAGATCAACTTAACTTACTGCACATGGGACACTTTTTCAGGATGCCTCCTTAGTTGGACAGGATTCAGATGTCAATTCAAGTTTTGGCTCTGCCACAGTCAGGCTAAGGGTCTACTCAGCAGTTATCTGGCCTCTACCCTTTATATCCCTAGATGTCAGCCAACTTGTGGTTTCCCATAGTATGATGAAAAACTGGAAGGCACTAAACCTCCAAATGGGATGAAAGCCCTTTATGCATGGGTTTATCTTTTCATAATGGTATAGTCTGCAATTAAAACACTGACTCTAGAGTGAACATGGAATGAACTTGAAACTCCAAAAAGTTTTCTCAGCTATAACATCTGTAAGTTCTCTGGACAGCATCTCCAGTGGTGGAAAAAGCAGAAGGATAAGAAGATTTTGGATGAATATTATAGATAAATTGATTTTATAAAAATAAGGAAAATTGGAATTTAAGACATTAAAAGGATATATACACGACAAATCTGTAAAGTGTTTGATACTTCCAAAATTCAATTTGTAATCTTCTCCTTCTCTCTTTTTTCTAAAGTAGTTAATGAAATCACAGTTGTCATCCATCTAAAGTTCTAACACTGATTTTACAACTTTGGAGTTATTTTCAACCCTTCTTTCTTTCTTATTTCTTGTATTTAATTAGGATTTTTAATTTTTTCTGCAATCAAGCTTAGGGCCTCATGCATGCTAGGTAGCACTCTGCCACTGAATTATATTCCTATACCTTTTTATTTTGAGACAGGTTTTCACTAAGGTGCCCAGGCTGGCCTTGAAATTTGGGATCCTCCTGCGTCAGCCTCCTGTGTAGCTGGGATTATAGGTGTGCACCACTGGGCCTGGATAATAAGTCTTTATATACAAAATATTTATTGCACTTGTTCCTTTTGTTCTATTTTGATAGTGACTGTCCCTGTATTAGGCCCTCCATATGTTTCATCTATTCTATTACAATAGCAGTATCATTCCTACATCAAATTTTACTATTCACACTACTGCCAGAGTAATTTTTTTTTAAAGAAAGAATAGTACTGGCATCAATATCTTTAAGGTTTTTCTTTTTTGGTGCTGGAGGATCTTGTATCTAGAGCAAGAGCTCTACCACGGAGCTACACCCCAACCCCAACCTTTTAAAAAATCTTTAAAGACTCTCTATTTCCTTCAGAATTAAGTCCAAATTCTTTTAAACTGGTCCTTTACCATTTATTTCCATATAACTTTCCAGTTTTGTTTCCCAGCAGTCCTCATGTACTTCACTAGACAACTTATGTATTTTCCCAGACTATTCTGCACTATTACTTCTTGCTTGGCCTTTCTTCCACATTACTCCCCCTCCCTAAATAGAGAATATTTTTTTCTCCACTCAAATTTCAAATATTTCCTATTTTAACTCAGTTACCTGTATTAAAACATTTAGGATTCTTTGCCTTCTAGTTCTGTTTTATCTCTTCTTTGCCAGATTACAGACCTTTTGAGGATACAAATTAAGTTTATTAATTAAAAAATCATTCATAGTTCCTAACATAGTGTTCTACAAATAATGAAGGCTAAATAAATGCAAAATTGTTGGCTTAGTGAAAGCTTCTCATTAAGTGTAAGAGAAAAACAAAGAGAATCAGTTTAAAGACCAGAATGTCTTCAGTGAGAAAGAAAAGGGAGAGCAAATCTTTAGATCCATGCCTAATGAACTTCTACTGGCCAGTGGCAGGCACTGATGCTATCCAGAGGTTATCAGTGGCTGAAGAGGTTCTGCTTTTCCAGGGCACATAGTTTGCTCTGGAACATTTATTCCTGCCATGTTCTTATCTTGAGAATCTAGGCATATTCCCTCCCTCTGTTCCCACAGCCTCCCCTTTCCCCAACAGAAGATATCATTAAGCCAGACTTGTTTGGTGGCTTATAGTAAGGAGGCGAGAGCCACTGTGTATACTGGAAGATTAACTCTCTGATTCTGACACAGCTTTGAGTCTGAGGCTGTGATAAAAAGATCTTCCTTGAAGGATATAGCTGAAGATTCAATAAGTCTCTGATTGTGCTGAAGTTTAAAATCTTAGAAGCAAACCAGTCTTTATCTTAATTCAACTAACCTCAGCTGCTAAAGCTTGGGAATAATTCTTTGGGAGTTGTTTTCCTTGAAGAAAAGTATGTGGTGATTTGTGGATATAATTAAAGATGTATAAGTCCAGTTTACTAAACAGTGGAGGTGAAATCAGCTTTAGCTCTATCACTTGCTTTGTGCAAATGCTCATAAGGCCCCACAGATGGCACTGCAGTACCACCAATGACTCCAGCCTTTTTCTACTGTGGAGGTCTATCATCACCAACCATTGTTTTGCACAGGAGCCTGAAATGCTTTATGAGGGTGGAGCTCTACAGGAGGAAAAGCTCATCGAGCTCATAAATGACCACCTCCTATAATATCCTGGTTCCCCAACCAGAGTCCTACTATTAGCTCTTTTGGATTCAAGAAAAATATTAGTTGTGCAGAACAGATAAAGTCAAAATACAACCCCTGGAAGAGGAACGTTTATTGAGAATACATTAAAGCAAATAAAAGTTTGGAGATAATTGATTTGAATGAGTTCAGAATGTGTTAATTTAAAAATCCCTCAGGTCACAGGAAACAATGAATATCAGGGTTCGAGGGATTCCATTGTATATAAGAGGTCAGGAGATGGCCTTTTTCATTTTCTAACCAATTGGATTAATAACATTCATTCTTTTTAAAATTCTTTTTTAGTTGTAGATGGACCCAATGCCTTTTTAAATTTATTTTTGTGTGGTGCTGAGGATGGAACCCAGTGCCTCACAGTGCTAGGCAAGTGCTCTACCACTGAGCCACAACCCCAGCCCAATAATATTCATTCATTCATTCATTCATTCTTTTTTTGTGTGTGTGTGGTGCTGGGGATTGAACCCAAGGCACTGCACTTGCAAGGCAAGCACTCTACCAACTGAGCTATTATCCCTAGCCCCAATAATATTCTTAACATCTCCTGAAATCTACTGCTGAAAATCAGGAGTCCATTAAGTTATTATGGGCACTGACCATTCAACTCTGGCATCGTATTACTGACCTTGTGCAAGAAGAAAGTCCACAGTTCCCAGATGGCCTTCAGAAGCAGCCATCATCAGGGGAGTACGACCTTGCTTATCTGCCATGTTGACATCAGCTCCATGGGTAAGTAGAAGATCAACAATCTGTAAATGCAGAGAAACAGGGAGCAATTGGTCCAAAAAGAACTATTGAGAAGACGCATGCATACTGTTCCCTAAAGTGTGTGAACTTATATGGCTATACAGGTAAGTCACCTCTATAAATTCTATTAGTTTTCTACTAATAGAACCTCTTATAAGTACCTATTCAGTCCTAATGTGATTTAATCTCTAACTCTCTTAAGGAGAGCTGAATGAGAGTTTCATCTCTGAATATCTGATTGAGCCATTAAGTAAAAAAAAAATATATATATATATATATATACACACACACACACACATATATATATATATATATATATATATATATATGCCAAGATGTAATGCAGTCTGAACAATCCCAAAATGGAAGTTCCAACACAAATCACTACCTATGTCAGTGCATTTTATTAATGCACTGACATTTATTATTCTATTCTTATTTATTATATTTATTATTCTAGGGGCTGCAGGCCTGCTTGTAGCAGTGAATATTTACTCTGAACTGACTACTGAAGTGCCTCTGATAGCTCTTTACACTGTTTGGCTTTTAGAATCTTTTTTTTCCTACTCATATATATCTAAAGATTATTATTACGAAGCTTTCTTTTCCATCCTAAATATATAAATTAACATTTATTTAGAATCCAAACAGTGGGGAAGATCACATAACTCGAATTTCCATATACCACCACTTTCTTTTACCAAGTCTGAAACCCTGTGAGTAAGTGGTTTAGCAGAGATCTGCTGAGAACTGAACTTTCCAATATACTGGTTACTACTGTGAAGTGTGAGAAGGAGATCACTGCATGGCCAGGACAAAAGTAGTTAGTCAATCTAGATCACAATGACTGCTTTGAACTTTAACTTTTTATCACCTTCTTAATTAAGCAGATTCATAAGAACAAAGGCCCAGTTCTCAAACCTGATAACTGCTGGGTAACTCAAAATTTATGAATAAGGGCTCCAAGGCCTGAGAAGCTGCAAGTAGCTTCCCTGCTTACCTGCCAGTGGCCCTGGCGAACAGTGCTGAACAGGGGCACTGCCCCTCGGCGGTTTGGCTGGGCCACTGCTGCGCCTTGCTCCAAGAGCAGACGGCATACCTCCAGTTTGCCTCTTCCGGCTGCAGCTGTCAGGGCTAAAGGCAGAGAACAAAGACTGAGGATAGGTGGTTCTTGTCTTCTCCAGGCCTCACTGTCAAGTATGGCATTAAGGCATTTCCAAATGATTTGTTTTATGCAACACAGTAACTGTTTGATCAATATAATTACTACCTTACCTCCAAGAATAATGATTTTAGCTGCCTTTTCTAGGAAGCTAAGATCCCTTTTCTAGGGATTCTTTATCACTGAGCTACATCCCTAGTACTTTTTATTTTTTATTTGGAGACAAGGTCTAAGTTGGTGAGGCTGGCCTTGAATTTTCAATCCTCTGCCATAGCTTTCCAAGTAGCTGGGGTTACAGTTGAGCACCACCATGCCCAGCCAGGAAGGAAATGTTTGAATTAAAAAAATTTAAATGGGCTCACAATATCTGGGGACAACCATAATAATAAATCCACTGAAAAACCGCCTTTGATCAAACTCACTGAGTTTCATTTTCCCTACCCATATTATCTTCTTTGCCTTTAGCCTACCTCTCTTTTGTTTCTTGTCCTAATTAAAAACCTGCCAGCCTATGAATGAGTGGAATATAGAGAGAAGGGACTTGGCAGAGATAGTCTTCTTTAGAATTGGATGGGAACCACCACTGGCCAACCTTTACTTCTGAGCTCTCAAAGAACCAAAGTCAGGAATTAGAGTTTAAGGGCCTTGGAGCCAGTTTTTCATTGTCGTTTTTTCTTTGTTTCTCTCACTCTTTCATAGAGACAGAAGTTTCTTGTATATTTGCAAACATTTTTACATGCAGATCCAAATGACAGCCAGGTGCGGTGGTGCACACCTGTAATCCCAGCTACTCAGAAGGCTGAGGCAGGAGAGGAGGATTGCAAGTTCAAGGTCACCTAGGCAACTTAGGGAGAACTTGTTTCAAACTAAAAAATAAAAAAGGGCGGGGGATGTCGCTCAGTGATAGAGCACTTGCCTAGCATTCACAAGGCTGTGGGTTCCATTCCCAGTTCCAAAAAGATCAGATCATTCAAAATAATGGTCTTAAAGATGAGAAAAGAAGAGGGACAATGGCCATTTTCTTCTGAATATAAAATAATGGAATCACAGACAAAAAATAGCTGTTGTGAGTATAAAGGATATAGCAGGAAAACTTTTTTACATTCTTTTTATGCTATTGTCCATTATTTGTGATCTTTGATACAGCAGACATTCTCTGAGTGCTAATTTCATTCTTAGTGTGCTGTTTTAATAGCAGAAACAAGAATTTAGAGATACCAAGTCCATCTCTTAACAGTTATTTCATTTAAGCAGGGAATTTAAAATGCATATGTTTATTGTTTTAAAGAATGAATGAAGGGTAGGGAGGATTTTATGCTTAATTTTAAAGAAAGAGGACAGAAAAAAATTTTCCCCAAATTGAACTGGGAAATGGATGTAGCAGGTAACAAACAGGTCCTTCCTTTATTATGGTCACCTATTCCAATGACAGATCAGAAAATGATAACATTTGGCAGGTGCAAACATTTCAGTTTGTAAATGTTGCAATCAGAGAAGCCACTGAAATTCAAATCAAATGGTCATTTGTATTTTTTTCCACTGAAGTGCAAATTATGGCATTTTTGTCTTTAGGATTGTTATTTACCCACAATTGCACCATATGCAAAATTAAAACTATCTATAATTTCCATGAAGATAAACCTTCAAGTAATCCTTCCTTTCCCCCAAATAAGATGGGGCTTATGAAGGAAAATGTGGCAATTTTTGAAAATGTACACAGTCAAACCAGATCTATGGTTTGCCTTATGGTTTATTTTCAATTTTATTTTGGAACTCTTGACATTAGCATTTCTCATTCAGTTCCTCATGGCAGGGCAGAAGCTTGGTTCTATCTGAGGTAATCACTTCCAAGCCTTGTTGGATTAACAAGAGTTAATGGCTATAATTACTGACTTTACAAAGAAGTTTTGTTTCTGGATCTTTAAATCCAAGTGATCTTCTCTCTTTCAAGTTCAAATTTCTAACAAGAAATTTGAAATTGTATGTTGGTGAGAACACAAGAGTAGTTTAAGAATTTTACTGGGATAGACATAGGTTAGGCATCGTAAGAATCATCTTGTGCTGGGAGCAGTGGCTCATGCCTGTAATCCCAGTGGTTTGGGAGGCTGAGCAGGAGGATCCAGAGTTCAAAGCCAGCCTCAACAATGTAGCAAGGTCCTAAGCAAGTCAGTGAGACCCTAAATGAAAATATAAAAAAGGGCTGGAAATGTGGTTCAGTGGTTAAGTCCCCCTGGATTCAATTCCTGGTTAAAACAACAACAACAACAAAAAAAACAGACAAACAAATAAAAACAAAAAGAATCATCTTGTTGGAACATAAAACAAACCATTCCCAGGTTCTGACCCCATTTAAAGTTAGCTACTAGGTTACAGGGTTGCAGCAAACCTATGTGTGGGGGTCAAAGAATCTTTACCACAAAAATAATTTAGAGCACCCTGGAGAAAACAGACAATAGTTCAGAATCAAACCTCTCACTAATGTTGCTAGCTCAGAAAATACATGTGAATATTCACAGCCAGTGCCCGTCTGTAAAGTTATACTGTCTATTTTAAGAATTTTATTACTCTGGTTGACCCATTTCTCTCTATCAAATAATGCATTTTTATGAGAGGCAATGTTCCATTTGGTCTTTTTTTTTTTTTTTTTTGTATCATCTCTGTTGCTTAGGATATGATGTCATTTGGCAATAACCTTCAGCTGATAGCTAGACATGGTTATTAACACAGCTGGCCAATTTCATCTCAAAACAACATATAACTATGTAAAATGGAGTCTGAACTTTTCAAAATCCAAGAGCAAGGAGTTGCTTTGGCTGGGTTTTATGAGTCCTATCAAAAACTGTTAGAATTTTGAGAGAAAGGAGATTAAGGTAAAGCCAGGTCTGTAAAACAAATTGATTCTTAGAACAAACATAGCAGTTAGGAACAAAATCCCTTCCTAGGAGACCAGAAACAGAATTTGTTCCCTAGCTGGTCAGCATCTGATGAGATTATCTGACATAAATGGGCTTTTTTCAAAGGGAAACATACAAGGGGTTTGAAGAAGTTGACAGGATGCAGCTCAGAGTTGGAGGAAATAGCCAAAGTCTGCTTGGATGGGATGCTGACAGTAAATAGAATACAGAGAAGCAAATGACTCTTTTTTCCTATTTTCAACCTTGAAAGAGTACAGCATGTATGATTAATGAGAGAAGGTGGTTGGGGAGACATAAACTGAATACTACTATTCAAAATCACATTAATTAAACATTGATTGAGCTATTTGTTCTCAAGGAACTCATGGTCCAGAAAGAAAATACATTACTGTACAGTGTGATAAGCACAACAGAGATATGTCCATGGTATGGAGGTGGCACAGAGGAATACGTATTGAGAAGGCCTCCAGGAAGATAGGACAATCTGAGCTAGATGATAAAAGTTAACTAGGAGTCTTATAGGTATACAAGGACAAGGCAGCGAGGCCCAGAGTCAAAGGAGTATGTAAAGGCACTAGGTGGGGAATGACATGTTTATTATCAGAACTACTGGAGAAGACAAGTAGATAAGTCTGGAGATAATGGCCAGTCTTTGTATGCTACCTTGAAGAACTTAATTCTAAAAGTATTTAACAAATGTCAGTAAGCAGGGAAGTAACAAGTGACATAAACAGATGATGGCTGAGGACCCCTGTACCTGAAGTCTGTGAGAAAAATCACAAAAGGGTGAGGCTAGAGGCAGGAAGATCGGTTAGGAGCACCCTGGTTAGGAGGTAGCTGTGATAATATAGGCAAAAATGAGAAAGGCAGAAATGAAAGGAATCTGATTAAATTTGTGAACTCTGGCTTCTTTTGGGTAATGATTTTCAGAGCTGGCTTCTAGAATTGTTAGAAGCTCTTAATGCTGGTCCTGGTCTGTGCCCCTAACATAAGGTGATGGGACAACCTTGTCATCTTCTTGATTTTTTTGTTGTTGTTCCATAAGTCTGTGAAAACTATGGGATGGGAGGGGGTTGACAAGATGGAAAAAGCTGGATGTAAAATTATATCTATAGAAGTATTAAGAGCTACAAAAGAGGACAAAAGTAACCAGGATACTCTAGTGATCTGCTCTTAGAAAATGTGATACATGAAAAATTATATCTCAATATCTTATTATGTTAAGCGTATTTAATTGAGCCTAAGATTCACTTCCATCTAATCTTAATATTTCTGAAATGAGGCTGCATATTGCAATTGATATGATAATAAAGAATAGTATTAGTATAATTAGCAGAACTTTTTATTTTTATAGTGGCATATAAAATAATACTTACATAGTTTCTTATAGTTTGTAGTATCCTAGATTTGATATAGTAAATGATATAGATTGTTGGGAACATCATGACCATTATATTTTCCTTAGATAAAAATTTTCTCTCTCAGGTCAGGGTTGCAGGGTTGGTGATCCCACTAGCTAGCTGCAGGTAACAGACCAGTCTTATATACAGAAACATATATATGATTTGGCCACTGGAGGAAACATCACAATTCAGTGGGTCATTATAAATATTAAATGATTATGTGCTGTTAGAAAGGAAAATGCATTCTTTGTAAACTTCTCTGTGTAGACATAAAAGCAGCTTAAAGTCCATCTATATTAGTGATGAGTGAGTTTTAGGGTCACTTTCATAAAGCAATGACAATATTTTTTTTTCCAGGAAATTTTTTGAAATCAAATGTTTTTAAAATTATATCTAAAAATTATATTACAAATACATTTCATTTCAACTTGTATTTAAATAGCATTTTCTGTTTCTAATACTGAAATTATTGCATACAAATACCAAGTTAAACACAATTCTGATTATAAGCAAACTGATATGAAGTTTTGACTTTTATATAAAAATCTCTGTATACTTTAAGTGCAAAAAACTTTTTAAAATTCTGAGGCCATAAAGTTTTATTCTAGTAAATTCCTATCAATAAAAATAAGACTTCCATTTAGTTCATGGCCTTGAACTTTTTTGAGAATTTCTTTCACTAGCATGTGTGTGACATTGATCACTGTGACTATGAGCCTTATGGTTTCTATCATTATCACCACTGAACCATGACTTTTTTGCCAATCTCGGTGGTTTATACGCCTGTGCCCTTGGCATTAAGGGGTCTACTGGGAGCTACGGCAATACTGTACTGGGGAAGGTTGTGTTGACAGGAAAAGTAAACCAACAGGTCTTTTCTATAGCTCTAGTTCACATATGAATACTCCAGAACTGCTGCTGTCCTGGCCAGTTCGTTTCCCTCAGCCTGTACTCTGGCTCCCATAGGGGCGGGGTTGTTTTCCGAGATAGCAGCTGTTTCCAGATGCACATTTTCCCTTAATTTGTCATGGGCTCTTAAGCTGCAGCTGCCTGGCATCTGTTCCTTTTGGCTCTTACAGAGGAAGGGATTGTTTGAGAAGAAAATTCCTAAGCTTTGGACCATTCCACATGATGACTACTTAAAAAAGTCATGAAATCTACATGAAATTTTACCATGGGAAGAAACATTACAATTCAATAGGTTGATATAAATGTTTAATAAGTTCAAGAATCTTCTCTTATTTTTAACAACCAAAATGTATACCCCTTCTTGTTGAGCAAAATAAATGGCCTAATATCAATTTTGGTCTTTTTCTCCTGGCAAATATGACACATATCTGTGGCTATGCTACCATCTTCCTTGCCCTGGTTTCACAAAAACACATCAAGGGTTACTAATGTTTCTTCAGATGCTCCAGTTTAGATTTGGTGGAAAGATAACAATCATTTCCTGCAAAGGCCACAAGGAAGAGGCTTCTGTTTGTATAGTAAGTATCAAGTGATAAAGAAGTTGCTTTGCAATATGCTAAGAAGAAATGCACGGAGTTGGGCCTTACAGGGCAACTTTACTTATAACATAAAGTTTAAGTGTGTCAGATATCACTGTACCATGGTAACAACTAAGCCAGGAATCGATAAATAAGTAATCTTCTGGTTTACAATTGCAGGTGAAGAGAATCATTTTGGTGGAAGAACTACAAGGATCAAATAAAAAAGAGAAATTCCACAATCATCTTTTGCTCATGTTGGAACACTGAAAATAAACTTTTAGTCTTCTAAAAATATTTGGAAACAAGAGTGGGAAAATGTTTTGTTTGGAAGTGCTAATGGTATGGAGAACCCAAAGGGAAAGAGGACTGAAAGAAAGAAAAAGAAGACTGACTTTTTTACTTGGGCTGAATAGGTCTCTAACACAAAAATCATAAGACAGTGATGTGCCAAAGGTATGCCAAAGAAGAAATAAGGGTATGGATAAGCTGTAGCTGCGGGCATCTGTCCACACAAACATAACACATTCATGAGAGAAACAAGCAATATCTATTAGAAGTACCTGTCTCTCCCCAGAGACTGTCAAAGCTGTTGATCTGTGCTCGCTCTACTTCTTCTTCATCTTTTTCTGGAAGATCAAGTAGGTAGGAGACAATCTGAAACAAGAAGTTGTATCAGCTCAAACTTCAGGTGGAAAACTATATTACTGACACTAGCCTGTGAGGTTTTGAAGATGGCAGGATCATCCAAGTACCACTAAATCTCTTGCATACAAGAAGAATCCAAATCAACTGCCCTTGTGTAGAAACCCTAAACTGCCCTGATTAGCATCTGTCCTACCATGTACAGTTCATGTTTCTCTTGAATATAATTCACTTATGTAGCATATGATTTTAAAAATACATATTCTTTCTGTTTAAGTTAAAGAAACAGAACCTTATTTCCCCAATAACACCAAAATGGAGAAAATTAAAGACTTGTATTTCTTCAGAGCAGAGTGATTATCATCCTTCTTCCTCTCAGAAGCATAAGAACAGTTTGGGTCTACTAAAAGAGATCGCTACTAACCACAAAAAAATGAGATAGCCCTATTTCCAGGAATTTGATTGTATAGAGTGCTAAAAAAAACCTTCCATAGATAATACAATTTTTGGTTTTACTTAATATTCTCTTGGTGACATACCACATCAGCCAACAGGGTAGCTGTTTCACTGAAGCATCCTATGCAGTGATGTGGTGATGGTCTGTAGTGGTCCATGAGAGCTTATTGTTGAATTTTCAGGAATTTTGCAAGCTGGTTGTTAAGCAAAGCCACTCATTTGTTAAAAATTAAATAAAACAAATAAAAACAAAGGTCAAAGTATACTTAAACCTGGAGCTAGTGCTGTAGTTCAGTGGTACAGCACTTGTTTAGCATGTGAGAGGCCCTGGGTTTGATCTCCAGCATTGCATAAACAACCATCAAACCAAACCAAACATAAAAACCCTCAATTCTCATAACTTCCTATTGAATTACATCTTATTATTATCTATCCTCTTGAGGTTATTTATATTTACTGTGCACCTCTTTCCACCTTTGTATTCAGCAGTATCACATTGGTAACTTGAAATTGGCCATGGTGGGAATATTTACATGCTGGAAATTGGCAAATGTTACAAATTAGTGTTTGAGTTAGAGTTAAAGCTGAAAGAAGTTTCAGTTTAAGCAATATAATTTATATGAAGAGGAGTAGTTTAACAATAGATCCCATATCAGATTTAATGACAGTGAAGTTATTGGTAAAAGAGTTAACAAATTGAGATGCATCTCCATTTGTCAAATCATGATTAGGTTGCAAATACTGGATAGCTGCAGATGCAAATTTGGCAAAAAAATCAACAAAAAGCATTCAATTAGGAGTATTGAGTATATCATAAGTATTTGTAAAAAGTATGTGACACATTTAGATCAGTAATATTTACTATTTATTAGAGCTTTTTTTAAATCATAAAGTATGCCTTTGGCATTTTCTTCTTTTTTTTTAGTTATAATGTATGACAGTAGGATGTATTTTGACATATACATACATGGAGTATAACTTCTCATTCTTATGGTTTACATGATGTGGAGTTACACTGGTCATGTATTCATATATGAACATAGGAAATTTATGTTTGGTTCATTCTACTGTCTTTTCTGTAACCATCCCTCTTCACTCCCCTCATTCCCCTTTGTCCAATCTGGTGTGCTTCCATTCCCCCGCCTCTTGCCACCTACTGTGAATCAGTATCCGCATATTTGTACCAAATTTTCTTTATCCATTCATCTGCTGAAGAGCACCTGGGGTTGGTTCCATTGCTTAGCTATTGTGAATTGAGCTGTTATAAACATTGATGTGGCTTCGTCACTGTACTATGCTGATTTTAAGTCCTTTGAGTATAAACTGAGGAGTGGGATAGCTGGGTCAAATGGTAGTTCCATTCCAAGTTTTCTGAGAAATGACCATACTGCTTTCCATAGTGGTTACTCCAATTTGCAGTCCCACCAGAAATATATGAGTGAATCTCTTTTTCCACATCCTCACCAACACTTACTATTGCATATATTCTTGATAATTGCCATTCTGACTGGAGTGAGATGAAATCTCATTGTAGTTTTAATTTGCATTTCTTTTATTAGAGCTTTACAGCTATACATAGTAGCTGGGTTCATCCCAACAAACTCATACATGCATGGAATTCTATTTCAGTTCATGATGCCTCCCTTTTCCTCCCATCCTCCTTCCTCTCTCCCATTCTCCTTCCTGTACTCTACTAGACCTCCTTTTGCTTTCTACTCATTTATATTTGATTGGTTCTTTATGTTAGCGTATCCCTCCTCCCTGCTTTCCTTTATTTTACTCTAGCTTCCGCATATGAGAGAAAATATTCAACCTTTGAGTTCTGAGTTTGGCTGATTTCATTTAATATGTGCACATATACATATATATATATACACACACACACATATATATATATATATCACAATTTCTTTTTTTTTTAATAGTTATTTTATTTATTTATTTTTTAGTTTTCGGCGGACACAACATCTTCGTTGGTATGTGGTACTGAGGATCGAACCCGGGCCGCACGCATGCCAGGCGAGCGTGCTACCGCTTGAGCCACATCCTCAGCCATATCACAATTTCTTAATATGTGTGTATGTGTGTATATATATATATATCTCACAATTTCTTAATCCATTCATCTATTGATAAGCATCTGGGTTGGTTCTATAATTTAGCTATTGTGAGTCATGCAGTTATAAACATTGATGTGGCTTTATTGCTGTACTATGATAATTTTCGATCTTATTCTTCCAAATGAATTTAAGAATTTTTTAATATTTATTTTTTAGTTGTAGTTGGACACAATACCTTTATTTTACTTATTTTTACGTGTTACTGAGGATTGAACCCAGGGCCTCACACGTGCTAGGCAAGCGCTCTACTGCTGAACCACAACTCCAGCCCCTAAGAATATATTTTTTTTAATTCTGTGAAGAATGTCATTGGTATTTTGATGGGGATTTCACTGAATCTGTGTACTGCTTTTGGTAGTATGGTCATTTTAACAATATTGATTCTGTCTATCCAAGAATAGGAGATGTCATTCTATTTTTAAGGTCTTCTTCAATTTCTTTCTTCAGTGTTTTATAATTTTCCTTCTTCTACCTCCTTGGTTAGATTAATTCCCAAGTATTTACTTATTTATTTATTTTTGTGGTTACTGTGAATGAGATGGTTTACCTGATTTCTTTCTTGGCTGAATTACTGTTGGGAGTATAGTAAAATGTTTATCTATGTGTGTTGATCTTATATCCTGCTGCTTTGCTGAACTCATTTATAAGCTCTAGAAATCTTCTGATAGAGTTTTTTGGTCTTCTAGATATAGGATCATGTCATTGGCAAACAGAGATAGTCTGACTACTTCTTTTTCTATTTGTAACCCTTTAATTTCCTTTTCTTGCCTGATTACTTTAGCTAACGTTCCAAGGACTATATTGAATAGGAATGGTAAGAGTGGATAGCCTTGTCACCTTTTCTTGTTCCTGATTTTAGAGAAAATGCTTTTAGTTTTTCTCCATCCATATGATGCTGGCTTTGGGATTTGTCATATGGCCTATGATATTATGTCATATGATGTTGATGGAAGTCCCTTTGATCCCTAGCTTCTCCAGTATTTTTAAATATGAATGAATGTTGGGTTTTATCAAGGCCTTTTCTGCATCTATTGAGATGATCATGTGATTTTTGCCCTTAATTCTGTTTAAAAGATGAATTATATACATTGATTTGTGTATGTTGAACCAACCTTGCACCCCTGGAACGAAACCCATTTGATTATACTGCATATAATTGAATTATTGCATCTATACTCATCAGGGATTTTGGTCTGTAGTTTTCTTTCCTTGATGCATTTTGGTTTTGGTATTAGGGTTATACTGGCTTCATAAAATGTATTTGGGAGTGTTTCCTTTCTTTCAATTTCATGGAATAATTTGAGAAAAACTGGTGTTAGTTCTTTTGTAAAGATCTGGTAGAACTCAGGTAAGAATCCATCAAGTCCTAGGCTTTTCTTTTTTTTTTTGGAAAGTTTTTAATTGTGGTTTTGATATCATTATTTGATATTAGTCTGTTTAGTTTTTTTTTTTTAATATCTTCCTGATTAGTTTGGGCAGGTCATATGTGTCAAGAAATCTGGCCATGTCTTTCAGATTTTCCAGTTTATTGGAGTATAAATTTTCAAAGTAAGTTCTGGTAATTCTCTGAATTTCAGAGGGTCTGGGATGATATCTCCTTTTTCACCTCTGATCTTATTGATTTCTCTTCTTACTCGTTCTTTTGGTTAGTTTGGCTAAGAATTTGTCATTCTTATCTTTTCAAAGAACCAACTACTCATTACATTGATCCTGTGTATTGTTTTCTAATTCTCACTTTCTTTGATTTTGGTTCTGATCTTAATTCTTTTTTGATTCTACTGAATTTGGGATTATTTTGTTCTTTTTTTAAGGCCTTGAAGTCGAGCATAAGCTTATTTATTTGGGATTCTCTAGTTTTTTAATGTAGTTACACAGTTACTGTAAATTTTCCTCTTAGAACTGCTTTCATACTGTCCCAGAGATTTTGATATGTTGTATCTCTGTTCTCATTCATTTCTAAGAATTTCTTGATTTCTACTTTTCTTTCTTCTTCTTCTTTCTTTAAAATTTTAGATGTAGTTGGACACAACGCCTTTATTTTTTATTTATTTTTATGTGGTGCTGAGGATTGAACCCAGGGCCTCACACATGCTAGGTGAGCACTCTACCACTGAGCCCCAGCTCCAGCCCTTTACTTTTATTTCATCTTTGATCCATTCTTCATTAAAAAGAGTATTGTTCAATCTCCATGTGTTTAATATGGATTCTATTATTTTTCTTGCTGTTGATTTCTAGCTTCATTCTATTATGCTCTGATGGGAAATATATATATATATATATATATATATATATATATATATATACACACACACACACACACACACACCTATACACATATATCATATATATATGTGTGTGTGTATGTATGTATGTGTGTGTGTGTATATATATGATTTGTTTTGTGGTCTAGAATATGATCTGTTTTGGAAAAAGTTCCATGTAGCTGAGAAGGTAAATTCAGCTGTTTTGGGGTGGAACATTCTGTATATGTCCATTAGGTCCATTTGATTCATAGTGTTTAGGTTGAAAATATCTTTATTGATTTTGTTTTGATGACCTATCTATAGGTGAGAAGTGTATATTTAAATCACCCAATATTATGGTGTTGGGGTATGTGAGACTTAATGTCATGGAGTATTTTTCCATGAAATTGGGTGCACTGACATTGGGGGCATAAATTTTTACTATTGTTATATCTTCTTTTTTGACTGTTCCTTTTACTAGGGTGTAGTGGCCTTCTTTGTCTCTTCTGATTAATTTTTGCTTGAAATCTGCTTTGTCTGAGAACAGCTACTCCTGCTTTTTTTTGACCATAGACGTGGAATATTTTTGGTCTTCCTTTTACCTTTAGCCTGTGGATGTCTTTGCCTATGAATCTCTTGTAACAGTATATTGTTGAATCTTGTTTTTGATCCATTCTGCCGATCTGTGTCTTAATTGGTGACTTGAGATTATTAACATTCAGCATTAGTATGGATATGTGTTTGTGGTTTCCTGCTATTTTGTGTTTTTTTTTTTTTTTTTTTTGCTATATATTATCTTGTCTTGATTCTCATTTAGTGGATTATTCTTCTATTGAACTTCCTCTGTTGGGGAGCTTTGGGAATTGTTTTTTAGTTCTTCTGTGTGCAGTTTATCTTTGAGTTATTTTTTTTGTAGTGCTGGATTGATGCTCATAAATTCTTTTAGTTTATTCTTGTGGAAAGTTTTTATTTCCCCCTCAAATTTGAAACTGAGCTTTGCTGGGTATAGTAACCTTGGCTGGGAGCTGTCTTCTCTTAGGGCTTGGAATATCTTATTCCAGGCCCTCCTTGTTTTCAGCGTCGGAGCTGATAAATCAGACATAGCCTTATTGGTTTGCTTCTAAGTGTGACCAGATGTTTCTCTCTTATAGCCTTTAATATTCTTTCCTTATTTTCTATGTTAGCAATTTTGATTATGATATGTCCTGGTGAGCTTCTTATTTGACTAGGTCTATTTGGGGTCCTGTAAGACTCATGTATGTGGATGTCTATCTTGTTTCTGATATGAGAAAAGTTTAACTACTTCATTGGAAATTTCTTTATGCCTTTAATATCTCCATGTTCTTGTCTATCCCATGATTCTCAGGTTTGGTCTTTTAAAGTTGTCCCAGAGTTCTTGTATATTCTGGTCATATTCTATAATTTTTTCCCTTTATTGCTTTTCTGTGTACTCACGGTAGCCTGTATGAAGTTCAGTCTTCAAGGGATGAGATTCTATTTTCTACATAATTTAATTTGTTAGTGATGCTGTCAAGTGAGTTTTTAATTTTATTGGCTGTCTCTCTCATTTCTAGGAGTTCTGCTTGATTTCTTTTCACTATTTCTATTTCTTCATTAAAGTGGTCTTTCATCTCCTGTAACTGCTCTCTTAATTCCTTCCTTAGATCTTTTAGTTCACTGAACATTTTTTATTAATCAGTTTTTTATAATCTTTCTCTGGGCTTTCATCCACTTTGCTATCAGTAGGATTCTTTGTTGGGGGATTGTGAATTTTGGGGGGAGATTTTTTTCTCCTGTTCTCTTCTGTTTTCAGAGGTCTTGGACTTGTGCATCAATTGAAGTGGATTCCCTTACCTCTTTTTTTGTATGTGTCCTTTTGTATGTAATTATCTTATTTGTTCTGGGACTTCTCTCTGTTTTTGATGTATGCGGGATCCTAAAAGGTGGGACCTGAGTTTCCTCTCTGATTGTTCCTCCTTGGATCTTTGTTGTTGGTTTGGGGCTTTTGTCTACTCAATTTTTGAGTTGGAGTAATGTCAGGAACTTGCAATTCAGCAGTAGAGTATCTAACCTGTGAACTTTTAGCATCCCTAAGGGTTCTCAGCACCTCACAGAATGGGGCAAAATAAACAATAGTAACAACTGTTGCAAACAACAAACAACACACAGTGTTAAAGTAAATATGCAGTTCCTATATCTTCAACAGAAATTAACCAATAAATAGGAAAAGGTTCAGCAATTGTCAACAATAAAAACAATAACCATGAACTTGATCTGGCTTTAAAGCAAACAGCAGATACAATTATATCATCCACAGCAGTAATAATTGTATTAGCAATAATGATGGGATAGGAGTCATATAAACCAATCAATTCTGAAAGACAGTAAAAATACAGTAAATTTTAAAATTAGGAGAAAAGGAAATGTGTTAGGAAGTTAGAAAAGATTTTATAATTTAAAAAAGTGAACAGAGAGAATGAAGAAGAGACGTAGCAGGTGATGTTTATACAAAAGGAGGGGAAAAAAAGAAGGAAGGTATTGGGAGAGAGAACAGAATTTGGTGGTTGGCAAAAGAGAGAAAGAGAAACAAAGCAAACACATGAAAATAATGCAAAGCCAAACCAAAATATACATTCAAAAACCCGAACCTCAGAAGACACTGCTAGGAAAAAAACAATTGCATTAAAAATGCTAAGCATGAGAAAAAGAGAACTTATAAGTGTATTTGTGTATGTCCCTGAGTTAATCAGCACAGTTAGAATTCATACATATGTACACATACTCCCCCTCCACAAAGAATAAAAAAAATTAAAAAATTAAAAAAAAAAATCCCAAATCAGTGAAGAATGAAGGAAACTTCTCCACTGAGGAGGTCAAAATAGTTGACCAGATTAGAGAGTTACTGTCTATGTCCAACAGTCTTTCTTTCGAATTCTTCTTGAGTTATGTACTGATAGAGAGAGCAGGGGATGTTTGTATGTTGCTCTCTGTTATGGTTTGGATGTGGTGTTCCCCAAAAGTTCACTTGTGAAACAATGCAAGAAAGTTCAGAGAAGAAATGATGGAGTTACAAGAGCCTTAACCAATCAGTGAACTAATCACCTATGGGATTGAGTGGTAAATAAAGGTAGGTAGGGTGTGGGTGGAGGAGGTGGGCATTGGGGGTGTGACTTTAGGGTATATATATCTGTATCTGGCAAGCAGAGATCTCTTCTGTGCTTTCTGATCATCATGTAAGCTGCTTTCCTCTGCCGCATTCTTCTGCCATGATGTCCTGCCTCACCTTGGGCCCTGAGGAATGAAGCCACCTATCCATGGACTGAGACCTCTGAAACTGTGAGCCCCCAAATAAACTTTTACTCCTCTAAAATTGTTGTGATCAGGTCTTTTAATCACAGATGTGAAAAAGCTGACTAAAACACTCTCTGAGCTGCCAAATGGAGTGGCCTAAGACTGAAGCTGTTTGATAGAAGACTGAGTTTCCCTTCTTACAAGTATGGGGTGAAATGGATTAGGATGTTCTGTCAGTTGGTGTTTTGTCCATTTGGACCAGTTGAGTGCATTCTCAGGGTTTAGCTTCTGCAGCTCTATGAGGGAAGTGTCAGCAAATGGTTCTGAGGTCTACACAGGCTTCAGGGCCTTTGTTGGGTGGTACCTTCTTTAGAGAAACTAGACTGACCTACCCCCAGGGTTTGACAGTAGCCAATCTCTGGTGTGGGTCTGGTTCTCAGGAGCCTCCCAAGAAATCCAATTGTGGGGCAGGGGGTCTGATCCTCCACTTACTGTTGCCCTGGAGCACAGCCTTCCTGGGCTTAGTCCCTGAGTATATTTACTCCAACCTGTTCAGCTGGTTATGTGAGCTTCCCCAACACAAAGGAGAAGCAAGTTGGGCTCCCCTTTGCCCATCCAACTTGAAACCCCCTGGGTATAGTCTACTCAGCACCTGTTTCACTCATGTTCTGTCAGGCTCAGCCTAGGTTACTGGATAGGCATCTGCCAGGATATTGTGGCTGTTTTTATGTTTTTTCCTCTGCTGATCTCCCAGGTCTTGTAGTTGCCAAGGTGGTGCACTTGTTCCAAGATGGCTCCCACCTCATTTTTCTGGGGCCAGCTGAGACACAGAGGGCCTTTTAAGTACCAGCATACAGTACAGCCTCTGGTTCAGCTAAGATTAGACAATATTTTTGATCTCAGCTTTCTCTGTACCAAAATTGTGTTTCCCCTCTCTCTGTGGTGAATGCACCCTGGCAGCACCTATGGGGTCAGCTCTGATGCACTTTTTTTTTTTGTTATTGTGCCCAAATTTCTGAGCCCCTAAGCCACTTTGAGTGTCCAGTATTAAATTTTAGTGAAATCCTTCTTTCACCTACCTCTCTGAGAAAAGCTGTACATCCACTGCTTTGATTCCATGCCACGAGATCAGTAAAATTTATAATAAACTCATGTATGTGCATACTCACTCTCTCTCTCACCTGCTGCACCCTTCTCCCCTCCTAAGCATCAGTTGTTAAACAAACCATAGTATATGACCATTTCTGCATATTTGTCACTATTAATATTATTACTATCATTAGTAAATAAATTAGCAAAAATACTATTTGTATGGTGTTTAACTGTTTACCAGGAACCCTTTGTAATAAACAACTTTGTAAGAAAGAGTAATTTCACTTCATGGATGGGGAACTGAGGTTCTAAGAGATCAAGTAAATTGCCCAAGGTCTAGATCTAATGGGCAGCAAAACTGGGACAAAAACCTGATCTTTCTGATATTTTACATGTTGTGTTCTTCCCATTCCACATCTAACCATGTAATTACAGGTCAGTAATTAATCCCTCTGTGGTTCTGCCATTGTCTGTTAAAAGGGGTGGAAATATGGGGGAGAGATTGGATTAGATACTTTCCAAAGTCTTTTCCAACTTTTTGTCCATAATTCTAGGTGCCTTGGCATTTAAGTAGTCAAGTGCCTCATGGAGTTTCACCTCTTTATTCCTTAGAGTAGTGACCAAAAATTCAAGTTAATTTGGCTGGCAGTTTTATAATATGCAATCTCACAGATTCTTGAATGCTTAAAAAAAAAAAAAGAGAACCCTATTCACATTCTTCTTACCTCAGTGTAACCCATGCTGGCTGCAGCAATGAGGGCCTGCTGGATGGCATGGCTCTTTTTAAACACTCCTTGCTGCTGGCCGGCCATTGTCCAGTCACACTGAATCAAAAACTTAACGACCTCCAGATGACCTCTGAGTGCAGCATGAACCAAAGCACACTGTCCATTCTTATCCAAGTGATCCACCTAAGGGGAGAGAACAGAAAAATATGTGTGAACCAAGACCTGTGGCTGTACTCCCAATCTAGTCACACCAGTACACTGCACATGTCTAGACTACTAAGATTCATTCTTTCCAATCTTTGAACTAATCTCTGAGCAAATTTAGAAAACACTTTCTCTTCAGGCTAGAATAGTACCAAACTACAACTCTGCCTGATGTGCCTCTGGGGGAGAACTTCTTTTCCTCAAAAACAAGGTCAGTTTTTTGTTTTAACATTAAAAGAAAAATAAACAAAATGCTCAGCTCACACTTTGTTTTCCTGAGGTACATTCCCCTTTGTTCTCAATTAGTTTCCCTCAGACAAAGATTTGAGAGACTTGTAGCTCTGTTGGCACAAAACACTGTCTTTAAAATCATGAAAAAGAAAAAAAACATTTTGGAGCTCTAACTTTTTGGTGTTCCAAAGAAGCAAAATATATCATATCATGAACTACTTACTCATTTGACCACCAATCTTTGGCAAAGATTAAATAGTCAAGTGCCTCCGTTCTTCCAGCAGGAGGGTAGAATCTCAAAGACCTGGCTAGAGGCACTTGGAGCTAGACTAAGCTCTAACAGGAGTTTTTCTAATTTTAGTGTTGCTTTCCAAGTTTAGATTGAAAGAAGAGGCTGCTTGAGATCAATCCACCAGCCGGGTTTGGTAGTATATGCCTGTAATTCTAGTGGCTTGGAAGGCTGAGGCAGGAGGATCACGAGTTCAAAGCCAGCCTCAGCAAAAGAGAGGTGCTAAGCAACTCAGTTGAGACCCTGTCTCTAAATAAAATACAAAATAGGACTGAGGATATGGCTCAGTGGTTGAGTGCCCTTCTGTTCAATTTCCAGTATCGCTCCCCCCACCCCCCCAAAATAAAGATAATCCACCAGAAGGCCCTGAGTCACAAGTTTCAATGAATGAAATGGCCTTTTCTAGCAGAAACACTGTTATCTGTATATGGTAGTTAAAGCACTTGAAACTTAAGTTCTGTTTCTGGTTCTCCCAGTAACTGGTTCCAACCAGCAATCCACAAGACAAATGTTTACTGAATGCCTAGTATGTGCAGGGCACCACATGGGATAAAAACATGATAAGACAGGAATATGTAGATTCTGCTCTCAAGAACTTTGAAATGAGGTATGGGGAGATGTGACCAATGTGATAAAACCCTGTCCAACAAAGGAGTTTATAATAAATGCCTTAAGGAAAATGAAAGTATAATAAAATTTCAGAGGAAATAAAAATTAATTCCCGATTAGGAACAGATTCAGAATTAAAAGTTTTAATTTACGTTTCTGCTCTGGGGAAACAATGAAAAATAACTAAAAATACTGGCTTGGTAGTATAAGGGATGAGCAGCAGGAAAGATCCAGTACCAGCAGAGATCTGAATTAAAGGCAAAAGTAATACAAGGACCAGTTATCATTCTCTTTCTAGAGATGTCCATTCAAAGAAATGGAACATTATTAAAGGTGGACAATAACTGTGCCACAATAAACATCTAAGGCTCTGAGATTTCACTCCCAAAGGAGTCTCAGGAGTCCTACTTTCTTCCCTGGTAAGAGCCCTAGATACCTCAGAATGAGATATATTACTTATATGTCTACTGTGAAACCAACATCCTCGGTTTGTTTTCAGGACTGAATCAAAATACCATGAGATCACAATTTTCCCCAGAGGCCAGCATTTGTGAGGCCAGCATTTTTCTTTTAATTGATACTTTGAAATTGAGTTCTTTTATATCAGTGATTCTGGAGATAAAGAAAAGATTTTGTTAATGTTTCTGAGAACTGAAATATACTAACAAATGCTTTGAGGTATACTTGGTCAGAGTATAAACAGGGGGAATCATCTTTTCCCCAGAATATCTCTAGGATGGTGGTCTTCAAGGACAGGATGAGGGGAATCTGGTCTCCTCATCTCCATTGGTTAACATTTCTTTTCTACATATGAAAGAGTCTGTAGTGCCACTCATTTCAGACCTCTTGCTACAGTCTCCTCCTTGCTCCCTTACTTCTCTTTCCTTTCCTGTTAAGAAAATAAATTTTTCTGAGCTCAGTAGAGAATTTCCAGGGATTTTTTTTGTTGCTGATAAGTGTAGTTTCCTAAGTGTCTCTCAAGGATTTTACAACTGTGTCCAGCTGTGGTGTGGACTGGCAGGGGCAAGTGGGCAAACACTGGGTGTAAGCTGAGCCACCCTCCCTTGATCTGCTTCCAGTCAGGGTTTGATATACCATAGGAGTTAAGGAAGACTCTGTATCTGGAAGAAAGAAAAAGGGAAAAAATGGAAAAGCAGCAGAGGCAGGCAGTCAATTACCTTGGCCCGTTTCTTGCAGAGTAGCACCACGATGCTCAAGAACCCTGCTGCTGCGGCATATCCCAAAGGAGTCAGGCCACTTTCAGAAGAGGCATCTACATTGGCCCCAAATTCCAAAAGCAAGGCCACCATTTCTGTGTAACCAAGATGAGACTGAACACATAGAATTGGAGCATTATTTAAAACCTCTGTCCGGTAATTAATATTGGCACCTCCCAAAATCAGCAGTCGGCTGACCTAAAAATAAATAAATGAATGAAATAATAATCAGACAATAGAAATAATAATCAGATATCAGCTATATTCCAACAATGTCTAGCAGCATTTAGTAATTTTTATATTTGTCATTTGTTCCCTTTTTAATACCTTGCTGTTGAAAGGAACATAAAGTTTTCTCTTTTTGCTCATTAGCTAGAGCAAATGCCACCCATACTATAGGGCTGAACATCAGCTCTACTAAGTGAACTTCTCACCAGAAAAACTCCTCCCAAAACAAGATACCCTAGATCAGTTTAGTCTCTAGAACCAGCAGGACCTGATCCCATATGCTGAAAACAGCTTATAGAGGTAGATGGACAGTAGGGTTTATCTTCGAGTGAGATAACGAAGTATAAACAAAATAAATTATTAGTAAGAGATTAATTGACAGGAGACGGTCTAAGGCAAGTCAGAGATCATCAAAACAGCTACTTAATATTCTTCTGATATTTTTTTCACAGTTAATTCTTTAAAGTATTTGTAATTTTTAAAAAAAATTTTGCATTTACCTTTATATTTGGAGTGTAGAGATTTCGTAGAGATGCCAATGCCATGGAAAGACCTTCTGTACTATAAGAGATCCAGAGACCTTGGAGGATGGAAGATGATACTCCAACTTTTTTACTCAAACCCTGAAAAAGAAATACAGAGACAACTCAATTACTAGCCAAGCTAAAAAGTATCATCAGTTGTTAGTGGTCTCTAGATCTGTGGTATCAATAAATAAGAGCAGAGTCTCACCTTAACAATATTCAAGCCCAAGAAAGCCCATCTCCTGATAGGGACAAAAACTACTCTTATAGGAATAAGGGAACTTAAATTGTCTTTATCTGGGCAGTTAACAAATCTATTTAACATCTTTCCTTTCTACTCTATCTGATGTAATTTGTTTTTCCATATCTTTTTGATCAGCCTTCATGAATGAATCCCTTAAATTCAAATTACTAAAATTACACTGTGGCAGAGACAACACATTGTGATTACTGATTTTCATTTCATTCTGGGAATTTGAGAAAACTATTTCTCAGGCTCCTTTACAGTTAATGGGTCATGTGACTGAATTCTGATTAATAAAATTGGGGTAGAAGTAATATACCATGTCCAGGTGTGGCCCCCAAATCTCATTTCTGCATACTTTATGACTCTTGACTACAGGTCAGATGCAGATAATTCAATGGAGATAATTTCAGTAATGTTACATAGAGTGGGGTATGGTGGCACATGCCTGTAATCTCAGCGACTCAGGATTACAGAAGTTTGAGGCAGAAAGATCATAAGTTTGAGGCCAGAAACTTAGCAAGACCCTAAGCAACTTAGTGAAATTCAGTCTTAAAACAAAAAATAAAATGGGCTGAAGATGTAGCTCAGTGGGTAAAGTGTGCCTGGGTTCAATCCTCAGGATCAAAAAATAAGGAGTGTCCATCTAGCCATCCAGGTACTGGGTGCACTGAAATGAATAAGGGTGGATGACAGCAGCTTTTGATTGTTCATTATAACTCCATAATCTCTTTTAATTTGTGCTAATAATAGGGACTCAATTACTAAGTCTCTTATTTGGTCAATTAGTTCATATACAAACACAAAAAACTGAAACAAACCTATGGCTAAGTCATTATGATTATTTATTTTGACATGAGATCAAATATTTATAGTTCTTTTTGTAAGAATTCCAAATGCTACTCAGTCAGGGTTGGAGTCCAGTCAAATTGGGTTTGAGGGTTCACCTCCACTGTAGATCCCAGAAAACCAGGAAATTTAACTCTGATTCCCCATTTGGGCTTCCGTCTCCTAATTTAGAATATGTGTGGTTCTCACCAAGGCCTTCTGAAGAACAATAAACTATATTAACAAATTAAATAAAAAATCAGCAGAAAGTAATATCTATATTCCAATAGTGGAAACTTTTTGTTTTTTGTTCCGGGAATTCAACCCAGGGTTGCTTAACCACTGAGCCACATCCCCATTCCTATTTTGTATTTTATTTAAAGACAGGGTCTCACTAAATTTATTAGCACCTTGCTAAATTGCTGAGGCTGGCTTTGAACTCTCGATCGTCCTGCCTCAGCCTCCAGAGCTGCTGGGATTACAGGAGTGCGCTACCATACCCAGGGCAAGAGTGGAAACTTAACAATGGAAAACATGCCTTATAGGTTATGGTGGAGGGGAAAAAAAAAAAGAAAGGGAATATATTCAGATATCTATTATATGTCAAGTGTTGTGCAAGGATTTTTTCATGCATTAGCTTTTTTAATTTAATCTAATCTCCACAACAGTCCTATTAGGTAGAATTTATCAGTATTTTCATATTGGAGGAAAGAACTTAGAAAAGGTTAAGTAATTTGTCCAGTGTCACATAACTACAGAGGCTGGAATTAGAATCCAAGTTTTTTGTTTTTTTTTTTTAAACTTTAAAGTTCATGTTCCTTGGGGCTGGGGTTGTGGTTCAGCAGTAGAGCGCTCGCCTAGCACATGGGAGACCCTGGGTTTGATCCTCAGCACCACATAAAAATAAATAAAGATAAAAAAAGTTCATGTTCCTTCTATTACACCAACATTAAAAAATCTGAAATCTCAGTCAGAAAAGAAGCAACTAGAAAACTAGAATAGACAAAACAGCTAATTGCTAGATTTCCCCTTTACCTCTAACTACCAACCATTCACTTTCTTTGGTCCTCTTTTCCCAAACTGTCCTTTTTTTTCCTTTCATTCCTTTTTTGATACTGGGGATTGAACCCTGGGAGCTTTACCACTAAGTTACATCCTCAGCCATTTTTTATTTTGAGACAGGGTCTTTTTTTAATATTTATTTTTTAGTTATAGGTGGACACAATATCTTTATTTATTTATTGTGGTGCTGAGGATTGAACCCAGTGCCTCACACATGCTAGGCGAGAGCTCTCCTGCTGAGCCACAACCCTAGCCCCAGTCAGGGTCTTATTAAGTTGCTGAGGCTAGTCTTGAACTTGGGATCCTCCTTCCTCAGGCTTCCAAGTGGTTGAGTTGTGCACCACTGTGCCAGGCTAAAAATAGTCTCATCTGCTCCTATGGCTTTATTCCTATTATTTTTAACTAAGCATTATGTTTTTTAAAAAATATTTTTATTAGTTGCTGATGGACCCTTATTTATTTATTTACATGCAGTGCTGAGAATCTAACCCTGAACCTCACACATGCTAGGTAAGTGCTCTCCCGCTGAGCCACAAACCCAGCCCAGCATTATGTTTCTTTTCCAATTGTGAAACTTAAAGTAGTAAAAGTAGTATTGTGCGTATAATCTGTAGTAGTCAATTTCTCATCGAATATTAAGTGAGATTCATTAATATTTTCACTTAATCCATTGAGTTATTAAGAGTATTATTTTATACAAGAGAAATGCTGGATCAGTGTTTATTAAAGTTATGTGGCAATTCTCTGATATCAGAGGGGGTTCAGAAAACGTATTTTGCTTCTCTGAAAGATGTAGGAGCTTACCCGCCTATTCAGCAACTATAAGTTTGGATTTAGTTTTCTTGAATATAAATTGCCTGTTTTCTGTGTGATCTTCATTTTAAAGATTAATTAAAAAAATACACAGGTCGGGCACCATGGTGCACTCCTGTGAACTCAGTGGCTCGGGAGACTGAGGCTGGAGGATATTGAGTTTAAAGCCAGCCTCAGCAATTATCAAGGGGCTAAGCAACTCAGTGAGATCCTGTCTCTAAATAAAAATACAAAATAGGGCTGGGATGTGGCTCAGTGGTTGAATGCCCCCCGAGTTCAATCCCCAGTAGCCCCCCCACCACCAAAACAAAAGACACAGTAAGGTTAAATAACTTGCTAGGCCAGGTGCAGTGGTGCACACATGTAATCTTGTTTACTCCCGAGGTTGAGGCAGGAGGAATGTAACTTGGCAATTCAGTGAGACCCTGTTGCAAAGTAAAGGGATGGGGACGTAGCTTAATGATAGAGTGCCCCTGAGTTAAATCCCCAGTACCGTAAAAAAAACACAAAACAAAACAAAAAAAAAAACTTGCTTGAAGTCCTACAGTCTGGAAGTAGGAAAAGTAGAATCTAGTCTGGTTTCAAAGCCAAATCTATTTTAACTACCATGCTCACTGTACTGTCATCTTTAAATGAATTATATAGATTAGTGATTTTCAACTTTTTGGGCTACATATTAGAATTATCTGGAGAGCTTCTAAAAAATACTAATACAGGGGGCTGGGTTTGTGGCTCAGTGGCAAAGCTCTCACCTAGCACGTGTGAGGCCCTGGGTTGGATCCTCAGCACCACATATAAATAAATAAAATAAAGGTATTGTGTCCAACTACAACTAAAAGATAAAAATATTTAAAAAATACTAATACAATGTGGAGAATGAAAAATTGCATAGCCACTTTGGAAGACAGTCTGTCAACAAAGCTAGGATTACCATATAATCTGATAATCTCACTCATTTTACCCAAATGAGGTGAAAATTTACAAACTAAACTCCTTCTATGAATATTTATAGCAATTTTGTTAACAACCCCAAAGTCATCAAGATTCCCCCTTTTTTTTTCTTTGAGCACCAGGGATTGAACTCAGGGTCATTCGACCACTGAGCCACATCTCCAGCCCTATTTTGTATTTTATTAGAGACAGAGTCTCACTGAGTTGCTGAGCACCTCACTAAATTGCTAAGGCTGGTTTTCAATTTGTGATGTTCCTGCCTCTGCCTCCCCAAGCTGCTGCCTTTAATAGATAAACTACCAACAAATAAACAGTGGTACATCCATACAATGTAATATTATTAAGCAATAAAAGAAACAAGGTATCAAGCCACAAAAAGACATGGAAGAACCTTGAATGCATATTGCTAAGTGGAAGAAGTTAATCTAAAAAGACTACATGCTGGGTGAGTCCAACTATATGAAATTCTGGAAAAGATATTACTCTGGAGATAGTAAAAAAGATCACTGGTTGCCAGGGTTGGGGAGGAAAAGATATAAGAAGTGAATATATAAAACAGAGGAATTTTAGGACAATGAAACTATTCTATACTGCACTTGTAGATACAGGACATTATACATTTGGCAAAATCCAAAGAAACAACACAGAATGAACCCTAATGTAAACTATGGATTTCAATTTATAATAATGCATTAATATTGGTTCATTCGTTGTACCCAATGTACCATGTCTGTACAAGATGTTAATAGGAGGAATTGTGGCTGGGGGAGTGAGCATAGGGAATTCTGGTTTCAGTTCAATTTTTTATACAAACCTAAAATTGCCCTAAGAAATAAAGTTTATTAAAAAAGGCTATGTTCTACTCCAGAACAATGAATCATAGTTTCTGGGAGTAAGGTTCAGGAATGTGTACTTGTTTTTTAAAGCTCTCTCTGAAAATCTAATGCATAGCCAGATTTGAAAAACCACTGACCTAGATCTATAGATAAATTCAAAGACTCAATGTTGAGTGGGAAAGAAAAAAGCTTTAGAATTATATGAATAGTATGATACTATTTTATGTCAATTAAAAAAAAATTCATATGTTGTTTAATATGTTACTGATTGGGCGTAGCAGTGCACATATATAATCCCAGCAGCGCAGGAGGCTGAGGCAAGAGGATTGTGAGTTCAAAGCCAGCCTCAGCAAAAGTGAGGCACT